AAAAGGGTCGCAGATCATACCCAGCGTTTGTCTGATCGCCCCCTTCTCCTCTCTTTACCTAGCTGCTGCCGATGCCCAGTCTGGACGCCAATCGCGGGGAGCCGGACGAGCGGACCTCACCGACCAGCTCCACGGGCAAGGCGCCGCCGGGTGTCACACTCCGCGGCACCGCCGAGTGGGCGCCACCGCGCGCCCAGATCATATTCTCCATTCACAAACAGGGAAAGTCAGTACCGTAGCGTGGGAGCCCTGGTGACGTGCACTGCTGTGGTTAGTTTGGTATTTTGCTGTGTAATTGAATCAGAACTAGTCAAGCTTGTGAGCATGGTTTTATTGTCAGTCCACTTTTTACAGAGTCGACAGTAAACAATCGTGCCTGCTTTCGATGTCACCACTCACCTGTATAAATGGGCAAGCGATTAAACTTGCATTTTCGTAAGCAGCGACCATCAATCGCGTGAAATATATGTATAACAATCACAAGTATTGCAGCCACCACTTGTCTCAGCTCTTGCTGCTGCTTTACGCTAGTCCAGTAATCTCCATCTAGCCGACTCATGCTGTCCCCCTACCCCTTTCCCAGACGCTCGGTGGCGATGGCCCGTCAGTCCCACCGCTGTGCCGGCTGCGGCCTCAAGGTGTCACCGTCACTCGCCAAGAAATTCCGCTGGTGCGAGTACCTGGGGCGCTACTTCTGCACCGGTTGTCATAGCAACCAGCAGTTCTACATTCCGGCGCGCATCATCCACAAACACGACTATACCATGTGAGTGCCCGCTTAAACTGTTCTGCTTCCGTTGCGGAGGGAATTAAACTGATATTGATTGTCGGAGCGGCAGGTTGTAGGATTTGTTCGCGTTTACTCGTCAGTGATCCATTTAAATGATTCCCATTTGCTGGCATGCGCCTGCTTTCAGAATATGAAGTTAGATTTCCTAGTTTCTCTTGTTTTTGGCTGTCCAACGAACGACAAAAAATAAATGCATGCTATGTCGGCGTCTTGTGCGGCGTCAAATTCTTCGCCATAAACGCTGCTGAAGCGACATCTAACCGGCCTCCACCCCTCTCCGCCAGGTACCCGGTGTCTATATTCTCCCACCAACTTCTGCTATCCATCTGGCGTGACCCTCTGTTCCACGTGAACGCCATCAACGCGTCGGTGTTGAACCACGCAGATCTACACCAGTGCCGAGTGCTGCGGAGACGACTCAGCTCGGCGCAGAAATACGTCGGGTCGTGCCGCTTCGCCAAACAGTGAGTGATCACCTGCAGAACATCACCGATGGGAGATTTGCTTCCGAGCTCCTCGAAATAAATTTGGCATTATCACGCAGTCTTGCTAAGTGTTCACTCTCCCTGACAGGCTGCTGCGCACCCATCCACTGCCGGACGCCTACATCATGGACGAGATTGACCTCTACTCTCTGCGAGATCTCGTCGAGGCCAACAGCAGGGTGCTCACCAACGACCTACAGAAAAAGTACAACGCCTACCTGGAACACTGTCGGCTCTGTCAGGTAAGCAGCTGATGACCGGGCGACGTCATAGTGTGACGTCATTAGAAAGGCCAGTGGGTGGCTGCGGGGAAGTTTTGGTTGTCGGTCGCTACCGAGAGCATATGGGAGCAGCTGATGGCGGGGCACGGGATTTTAAGGGTATTTGGTGTTGGGGTAGCATTGCTAAAAGGTAGCGTATTTGTATTTTATACCTGAAGAAGTGTCGTCAGATCACGGCTCCATAAACACTGGGCCGACCTTCTCTGCACTATTACGAACACTGAGTGAAGGATAAGTCCTGCACGCAAAGGAATTGATTTTTAGATCTAGTGGCCTCCACGGAGTGCCCGATCAATGCATATGTTATGATATGATATTAGATTATATGTGACTCGACAGATGCATATCATTATATGTCGAACGGTTGTAAGAGTCCTCCTTCAGTCAACATTCACTTATAAATATGGTAGATTTCTATTGGTTGATAATATACCCACTATTCAGCAATTTAGCACCGCACGTTTAGTAAAATAATCTTGCACGATTTGGACGAGAACTTTTCAATATCTTTTCCCAGTATTTGTCTACATTTTGTTGTTGACAGATTTGGCGAATTGGGTGTTCTTGCACGTAATTACGGAGCTGCCACCACTTCTCTGTATTTGTTTGCTCTTATGTTTGCTCTGACTTGACACATCATCGTTTGTCACATCAGCTCCCGTTTACCGTAGACCTTGATGTAGTTAGGTTGTAAGGAGCCCGTGTTTCTTTTGTCATTCCACACAGCGTAGTTATTCTGTGCTGGGTCGATCTAGAGTCTACCATCCGACTGCCTAATAATTGGTCTCCTCTTCTATGGTCCTATCCCTTTTTTATCCTAGCCTGTGACTCCTGTCCTGTTCTACCCGGCCCCCATTTATGCCAAACTAGAGCTCTCGCTGCTTGGTGTGCGGCTCGAACGCTACCGAATGTGCGTGGCATGTGCGCGTCGCGTCAACATATGATGATCCTGCATTCTGTCCTGCCTTTTTTGTCGTCATGGCTGTTTTGTCACAGGACGGCTGATATATCCCACTGTCATCCACGATCCTGTCACAGGCAATCTTCTCACGTTCTGTGCGGACTACGAGTACTGTCACCCGGGTGTCTTACAACCATGGGTAATGGGTATTATTCTACTTACTGATGTGCTGTTGGGATCGGCTGGCTGGAGCTATTTTTATTTTGTCGCTACTTTCCGTGCCGTGGGAAACTGCTCATCTATGAAACATCTATGAATATGTGGTATGCCGCCTGGCATTGTGTATTCTTGTGCATGTGGTGAATGTAGAGGTGGCTGGCTTACTGTAACTTTATCTTCTCTCTTCTTTATATTTTCCTCATTAACTGTACAATTGTACATGGAATCAGGTGCGTACGAATGGTTATACACTTGCACAGTAAACGCTACGCCTGATATGTTAACATATTCAACACATGGTATTCGGGTATCGCTTTTTATAATTCACGGTGTATGCAGTATAACCGCGCTTATCTCTGCCAATTACTGTGCCACTGCCTAGTTGCGGTGCTGTTGTATGTAGCTGCACTGGACTGGCTGGCTGCTGGCTGTCGCTTCTGTCCGCCTGCCGGGGCTGCTCCGTCCCCCACCGACCCCATCTGACCTGACCGGTGACCCGGGGCCGCCCTCAGCTGTGTCGCGGTCGCGGGTTCCACTGTTGGGGCTGCGCCGAGCGGCGGCAGTGGCAGCGCGAGGAGCGCCACCGGCGGCGGCCGGCGGCGCGCTGCTGCCGCTGCCCGCGCCGCCTGCGCTCCCTGGCCGGCCGGCTGCGCGCTCAGTGGCGTCGTTTTGTCCACCAGCTGTGCTGCGGCCGGGCGTTCCACTGCGAGGCGTGCCATCACCAGCAGGTGCTGTTCCCGTTCGAGGTGCCCGAGGTGCGCCAGTGTGCGGGCTGTGGCGCCTGCTACCACTACCTCTGCTTCCCGGAGGCGGCCGGCTGTGCGCGCTGCCGCCGGCTCGAGCAGCGGCGCCGCGCCTCGGTCCAGGTCGTCTGACGTGGCGAGGCGGGGACATGGAGCGTCGGAGGAGGTCACAGGGGAGTGTGGGCCGGGTCTGAAGGCTGTGTCGGTGTGTGGGTGTCGGAGGCCTTGACCGAGTGGTGCTCGACGTGGCTGTGCGACTGGCATAAGGGCCCACTCAAACGTGTACAAATGAGCATAGCCGTGGCTGTGGCCACAGTCGATAACATTCCCGGCACACGCTGGTTTTATATTCGCAGAGCGTTGATAGTTCGTGAAGGTAATGTATCAGGTCACAGGTCCTTTCGCCTGGTGTCACGTCCGGGCGACATTGTAGGGTTGTTTCGCGATCAGTCTAGCGAGCAATGTTGATGCTGCTCAGGGACTGTCGGCTGCCAGAGTACTGGGTCCGTGGGCTTCAGGCCGATCGGAGAACTCGCGAGAGGATGACGTGTGTTGGGGACGCCTCAGAGAGAGCTGTGACTAACCGTCTTTCTGCCCGAGCGGCTTCAGTATTAGACTCAGTGGTGGGACGGCGGGCTGAGGTATGTATGTACTGTGTACATCGGTTCGTTGACGGGATTATATTTGGCTTGCATACTCTGTGTATTGATCGGTGAGCCAACTGTCTGTGCTAGTTGTGGGGTGATGCAGACAGCCATGGGATCTCTGTTCTCGTAATGGTCACGCTCGATTAGCTCCCTCAGTATTAATTATGGTGTGTGTTTACAGATTATCTACTCGGTAGTTATATTTCCGGTAAAATGAGATGTATCATTATACCCTTGGGCTGTTTTACTCGGGACAATACCATGTTTACAAACCTGCCAAGATGTCAAGGTCGATACATACTATGGAGACGGCGCTTATCAAATGTATCGAACAATAATGGTTTAACGGTCCTCTATTGTATGCCACGATCTCTATGTTACCGGATTGATAGCGTGTAGATGGATGACCATGTACTCAAATAGAAATTGAATTGTCACGTTTTACTCGTACACGCTAAGCAATTAAGCAATGGAGTTTACTCCTCAGCATGGTCCAATGTTGTCAATCAGGATTGAAGATCTGTCTGGCAATAAGCGCGTAATCTCTGCTGTACCACTGCTCCATGTTTATGCATTCCGTGCTATATCTACTCGTATTATGCTCGTGTACCTCTTAATGAGCCCCGAGTATGTTACCATCACAAACTATGCAATCGGATATAAGCGGTGGAAATTATAAGACATTGTGCGGAAGGGAATATGCATAGTGAGCCTTATTGCGTCGCGTCGTATTGCCATTTATATATGACTGTGAATACACCAAATAATGACCCATCCCGTGTTTGAAATGATAGTTGTATGGCCCAAGAAGGGTCAACGCATACTGAAGAAGTGCGCGTAGCATGTATGATGTAGTTGAAGGTAGTGTAGTGCACGTAGTTCTGTGGGTAGTGCATTCGAGCTAGATACTTCGCTAGCCCGTGAGACAAAATAATGAAAGCTGCTCTGTATTCATACTAAGTCACATCACGCATAAATATAGGAACACGTCTCGCTTCAATCAAACCATACCACTTGATCATCTAGCTTTCATGCGAAGAGGCTTTTTCGCAAACAGTAAAATCGTTTTCACTCAGTAACAAATGTTGGCAGATTTCCGAAACACTCAAAACTAACCTGTCACATCATGTGCTTTCACACCGTGCAAAAATGCAAACACCCAAGACAAACGCTGGAACGCACAGATCCGAGAAACTGTCGTCAACAAATCCATCACACCCTCGCAGACCCAGTAGTTCCATCACCTGATGGTGCGACTCGCAATGATCACAGTTATAGTCCTACTGCACTGGCTTTAAGGGCTGCTCCAGATTGTCCGCTTCAGAGAAGAAGGACAGTCGTCTACTCATACATTGACCGGTTAGTCACATTGAGGGACGAGTACTAGAGCATTCGAACCACAGCCATACAGCAGCTGGCACACGCCGGCCTTCGGTTTTGTCATTCAATGTTCAGGCGCATATCGCACGGTCATCCGCTACTGATAGCGCTCCAGTTCAGACACAGGTCATCATTGGAAAACCTGTGTTCTACACCATCTTCGCTCTCCGCTGGACACCCTCGACCTTCCGTCGCCCGCCGCTCATTTGATGCGGAACTTCTTAAAGAGCGGATGTTTGATGTTACGCCGGTACTCCATATACAGAGCGTCGTCGGCGCCCGACATGGAACCCATGTTTCCGGCGCGGCGCTGGAAGCCTCCCGAGGTGCCTGGCCGGCCTCCCTCGCCGGGTACGCGCTCCTCGTCGGCGTCCAGGTCACTGGCGGCCAGCACCTGCTGCAGCAGCTGGCCCTGCTCCTCCTTCCCGCTGTACAGCAGGTCACGGTCCTGGGAAGGCGGAGAGCGTGACAGGGGTGAGGGTGCGGAGGGATTCGACGAGCAAATTTTATTTAAAACTACCTATCAGCAGATCCGCCATCAGACTTACAGCTTTCATTTGTGGCTCAAAAAAGTAAACGATCTACCAAAACCAAGTCAAGAGCTGTTCCCATTCCGCGATAAGATACCAACTAAAAAAAAAAAAAAAAAAAAACGACAACAACAACAACAAAAGCTAGATCTCAAGCGGGCCCCATTCAAACCACTAATTGCCTATCAAGTCCTGCTTTTACCTCGTCCATGCCGGCGAGGCGCGTGATGACCTTGTAGCTGTAGCCCTGATTGACGAGGAAGCGCTGCCGTTTCCTGGAGAAGCTCATCTCGACCGTGTCCTGCGACACAAGCGTGTAGAAGAAGGCGTTGTACTCCTCCGCGATGGCGCCTGGCGGTGGTTCGGGGGGGGGGGGGAGGATGAAACTGATAAAAGGCTACGTGGTGATATAAAGTGGGCCAGCAACGTTCAAAGGAGCAGGACAATCAACAACTGTGGAAGAATTGATGGGAGACATAAAACCAGAACATTTTGAGGTGGTGATGAAAGAAAACTAAGATGTGAACATAGACCTCTGTACATAGACTGGTGTACAGAGGTCTATGATGTGAACAATCTGAGACAGAGTCAAAAGCAGAAATCGCGTATTACTGATTCACGGCGAGCGCTTGACAAAGGAGGTGAAATCGAGAACAATTACAAACATTGGCGGAACACTTCAATGCCGTGTGTACCGACCTTTTTTGGCGCGCAGGATGCGGCCGAGCCGCTGCGCCTCCTGTCTGCGGGACCCGCCGTGGGAGGAGATCTGGATCAGCACGTTCGCCTCCGGCAGGTCGAACGACGTGTCGGCCACCTTACTCACGAAGATGGTGTTCACCTTGGGGTTGAACTTGAAGTTCTGCAGGATCTGGATCCGCTCACTCTGTGGAAGTGTCAAAAACGGTTTTCGAGTGACCTAACTAAACTAAACGAACGAGTAGTTTCCGTACTATGGTTGCAAAATTTCGTTAAATCAGAATGGATGTCTGCTGCGAAAGTCTCGGCCACACCTCGATGCGTTCTATGACTCACCAACTTGCATCGGAATGCCATTTGCGACGCGACGCAACACGTACCTAAACCTCGTGCATAATGGAACAGCTAGCAGCTGAGTTATCAGTTACACAGAACATGGTAACTCTCCGCGCCAGATACCAGGCATATTCCACGTTACGACCGCCGTTACGACCGCCAGCTCTCCCATGGTTACCTGCGATGTCGGTCCGTAGATGTACGGCTTGTTCATCTTGATGGCGTAGTGTTTCAGCGCAAACACGTTGTCCGAGAACACGATGATCTTGTCGGAGCGTTTCTCGTGGTAGCGGATCAGAAACTGGGTGGCCCGGAACTTGTTCGGGTTCATGGCGTACAGCAGCTGAAAATCACCGATATCGATATAGTCAAAAACGGAATACAATCGGGAAACTAAACACGCCAGACGAATAACAGCTACCTTGGGATTGTTTAGTTTGATCTATAGGTAGTTTTTCTTTGATCTCGAGAAACGCTGTCGCATTTCCAGCGAGTCAAAAGGCCATGCAAACGTCATGGAAAATCGAAACGCTTTTTTAAAGCCAATGACCAATTTACATTGGCTATTATCCAACCATCACCTATCTTTTCATCCCATTGTTTTCCCGTTCCCGACCGCCCCTCGTCCGCCACTGACCAGTCGTTTGGTGCTGCGACAGGCCAGGTACTCGCGGTAGAACTCGGGCGCCATCGGACACCACACCTCGGCGCACTGCACGCGCGCGATGTAGCCGTTCTTCTGCAGCTCCAGCCAATTGGCCTCGTACAGCTTCGGACCTGATGTCAGACGTCAGGGTAAGAGGCCAGAGAAGTAAAAAAAAAAACTTAGGGCTGGGCCAGGAGTTAGCACTCCTCAGAGTCAAAGAGGCTACAAAGACGCGAGAGGTGGAGGCCAGCACCTTTGAATGTCTGACCGTTTCACAGCTGAATTGAATAAGACCGCATTCAAACCAATAGCTTAGCCGCCCGTAGTGCCTACTGTCAGACATTGATCTCAAATGGCAATCAAATTTAACGAAATCCCTTAGCAGAAAAGGCTGAACAATAGGACAGCTCCGGCCGATGTTGGCCAGTCCTCCACACCCGTGCGCCACATACCGATCAGGAAGTTGAGGTCGGCGATCTTGTCATCCTCTCGCACCAGGGTGGCCGTCAGTCCGAGCTTGCAGTGCGCCTGTACAATGGTCAGCACGCGACGGAACATCTTGGCAGGGATCGTGTGTACCTCTGGTGGACAGACAAGGCAGGTCAGACTCAGAGAGCGCGGCGGAAGAGGCAAGACGTGAGGTCGGGCAATGATAACGTTAAGAATTATACTAATGCGTCCTCACACCAACAAAAACTCACTGATTGGATCGTCTCTCCCATCTCCCATCTCTCTGACCCGATCTCCCCTTTCTCCCTTGGTTTCTCCCTCGCTTCCTTACCGTCGAGCACCATGATTCCCCACTCCTGTTCCTTGAGCCACTGCATGGTCTGGTCGGCCTCCCACGAGCGCTTCTGCGTGTGCGTGATCATGTTGAACGTGGTGATGAGGATGCTGCAGCCCATCGGCTTGTCCTTGGCGTCCGAGGTGAACCGGCAGATCATGCTGTCGTCCGCTGCAGATGATAGACGGCGTGGGTCAGGGGAAGAAGGGGTCGTATTTTACTTCAGAGGCTCGAGGAAGTTTGTTATGTATGAGCATGACCGAAAAGTCGGCGTCTGCCAGAAGTCGAAATGACTTGCGGCTGCGCATGTATGCACAATGCACATTGTAACGTTTCCATTGTAAAGATACTTAGCAGTTGTCTAGCAGCCGGATACAAATCATCCGAGATTAGTCAAATAAGTGCAAAAATGATTCGCAGTTAAAGCTTCTTTCAAAACATCATAACTCGAAATTTTGATCTGTTATCATCCGACCAATCAGAGTCATGAGCACTAAACTCACCTGTGGACCACATTTTGAACTGGGCCTTCCACTGTTCGACGGAGACGCCCGAGTTACAGAGCACCAGCGCCCTCTTACGGACCGTGCAGCAGGCCGTGACGCCCACCAAACTTTTACCGGCGCCTGTGGACGGCAGAGAGAAATCAGGTCAGGGCAGGGACTTCCCCGAATCGGGTGGGGTGTCCACGAGGTTGGCTTGCGGAGCAAAATGCAAATGTGAGCTGGCTTTGCAGAATCCCGTGCGTATGTTTTATTCAGCAGATGATAAGTGCGTTGAAATGGAATGGATCAGTGGTGGCTCATATGAATTTCTCTATAAAAAAACGTCAGTCTGCTGAAAATATCAAGGGTAAACAAAAATTAGCTAAAAAGTTGTAGCAAATCAGATAGCCGACACTCTGCAGTATCCGTATTTCGTTCATCAGTTCACATTACACAATAAGACGTTGCATAGGCTGTACCTCCACGCTGCTCCCGCCTCCCGGGTAGCCCTGTATAACCCCAGCAATTACTCCCCGTTTCTCTCCTTAATTCACTCACTCAACCCTCCTCTACCATTCCCTTCTCACTCCAGCCTCCCACCCTCCCCGCACTGACCGCACGGCAGGACGATGACCCCGGAGCGGGCGCGTCCGTTTCCGAACATCTTTCTCAGCGACTTCTCCTGGTAGGGACGCAGCACGGCCACCGGCTTCAGGTCGATGTTGATGTCCGGGTTCACAGAGTCGTTACGGAAGTCGTACTCGGCGAGCAGCGGGTACTCGAGCTCGATACACCGCTTTTGGATTACCTCAATACGATCCTAGCGGGCGGGGATCGGAACGAGATTAGAAGACGTCCGGGGAATAGCTTTTTGGGTGGTTCACAAATGACAAAAATGTCATGTCGTGTCATATTGAATGTAGAACCTGCTACCTTGGCTGCTTTACGGTTAAGTATCAGACACTTCCTTCAATTACGAGGCATAATCATGTACTTCCAAATTTAAATAGCATCACTACCTCTCGTTTCGCCAGCATGGTCCGTCCATTGCATGTGTCACTAGTTACATCGGCATGACCTCCATCGCATGAAATTAATTATCCTCACCTCTCTAACATCCCCTGCAGCCTTACGGCTGCCCGTACCTGCTGAACCTCGAACGACACCGTCTGCGTCTCGGCGGCCTCCTCGTCATCGTCATCGTCCAGTCGGCCGTAAAAGTTGGTGATGTCGTCAGGTACGGCGGCAGGCGCCTCCTTCTCGGCTGGGACGGTCTCCCCGCCGGCGGCCGGCGCGGTCTCAGGCTTACTACCGAACTGGAAGGCGCAGGGGAGGGTGGAGTTAGAGCCTAGTGTTAGGAGGTGCACGGAGACGCAGAGGAGGGGAGAGGTCGACGTAACGTGGTAAGCAGGCAGTCTGGAATAGTGTCAGGCACGTAGCAATATTGGCATAGTACCCGAACTTTATGTTTTTAACTGGCAAGCGAGAAAAAGGGAAGAAAACGCCTAATAAGCCTCTGATTAGCTTGAGCGTCGTAGGTATCTAATTCTGTCTAATAAGGTGCCGGCCGGACATTGGTACTGAAGGAGCTTCAACACGTGATAGTTTTAATGCAGCATGGAATTGTGACGGTCCAGTACCTGCATTTTGTCGGCCTTCTGTTGTTTCTCGGTGATGAGAGCGTCCGTGTCCGTCTCGGCCGTCTGGCGCAGCCGGCAATCGGAGATGACCGGGTCCTTCAGCAGCTTCTGGATCACCTCCGGGTGCTGCGACTCGATGAAGTAGCGGTTGTGCTTCAGCACGAGTTTGGCCTGAGGAGTGGCGAGGAAAGGAGGTGTCAGAGGGTCGGAAAACGAGGTCAAAGACAGATTTATGTGGTTCACTGGTTGCAAGGGCACCAAATAACAACCGTCCCTGCCTGACCTTGCCGTAGGAGACGGTGCAGAGCCGGATGAACTCGATGATGCCATCTGGGATGGACGTCTTGCTGAGCCGCTTCAGATACTCTATGATGTCGTCCGTCTGGAGGCCGACGCTCACCGCCGCGTACAGGGAATAGGCCGTCAGCTTGTACTGCAAACGGAAAACATCGAGTCAACGGAGCAGTGAACAACGTTCGTGCCTTCGAATGTGCGGCCACGTATTGGGAATAAACCGCTTTTTACTTTCTCGCCTTAATCTTTGAGGTAGTTTCAAACGTCACCCTTACTGAACAATATCGCCAGAACTGGCTCTTCAATGCTACTGAGTTGATTTCAGCACATAATTCATTCACCCAATGTCGGGCTGACTTCACTAGGACTTCCTCAGTTGGGTTGTTGGTTGGTTTACTCCCCTCGGCTCCCTTCAGCACTCACCTCATGTATGTGCTCCGGCCGGCAGACCGGCTCCGAGATAGCTATGAGGAAATCGTGTGCGTGCCGGTAAACGGGCGAGAACGACTCCAGAAAGATGTGGCCGTCCGGTGCCTGGGGAAGAGGGAAGAAATCAAGCAACGTGAGGGCACAGTGCAAGAGTCTGGTTGGCATAAGCTTGAGTGTGACTGAGGCAAAGGCCGTAACAAATATGTCAGAACAAGTAAGCTATTCGATATGACAAGGTGTCGAAGTTATACAAGTGCATATCAGGCAATCGTTCTATGAATATTGAATACTACCAGTGAAACATACATGAAAATCCAATTTTGTCAAGCAAGAGTCCAAGACAGCAATAATCATGGAAATAGTGTAACACCTGGGACCTAATTGAGACCTACCACCCATAGTGGTCTCGATGCGTGATCTGGTTTGAGGATCATCTGGGACCGGTAGTCCTTGGCTCCAAACTCGTCCTCCGTGGTCGACACTTCCTTTTCGGCGTCGTGCTTTGCGGCGTCTGGCACACCGTCTGCACATGAGACAGAAAATAATTACACGTCTGCTGACAAAGAAACTCATCCATTAAAACTGTTCTATCTATACAGAGAAAAAGAGGACAAGAATACACCAAATTATGCAGTAACTAAAGAACTGGTCCGCAGCTAGGGCATCATACCACCATTGCAGGATATCATTTTTGTTGTAGCAGGCTTCAATTTAGCTTTGTGCTCACCTTGTTCCGGATCGAATCCATCCTCAGAGTTGTCGTTAGATGGGGGCTCATAGGTCTTCCTCTTTCCACGAAAATCTGAAATTGAAGACATGGACACCATTGAATGATGGGAGTGACCTTGTGAATATCAACCAGCAGCTAAGACTAGAGTGGCCCTTACTACCATAGAGGCAGGCTGCTTTGAAACCTCAGCTTGGTTTTTACACTCCATGTGGACCCCTTGATGCCTCTAATGCAGAATGTTGACTAAAAGAGACAGGAAGGTTAAGGTTTCCCAACACAGTGTGCATGTTAAACCAGTGTATGCTTTCAAGGTGATGTATTGCTCTACACTAGCTCTGGTGATTTAAATGATTCAGGCATCACTGGATCAGAGCATCTTGAAGGGCATGCCCAGAACTAAGGTAAGAAAATGCTAGAACAGGTTTCTTATAGAAGTAACATGGAAACCTATTTTTCTATCAGAATCCTTTTTAACCCTCGCCCTGGCAGGGCATTTTTCATAACACGGCCTGGCAGGGGGGGGGGGTCGATGCGACCCCCCCCCCTCGCGATTGGCTCCTATGGCACCTAGAAACACCAAATTTGGTAGGTAGGTGGGCCCCCCGGAGTTCTCGCCCCTGTGCAAATTTGGTTGCTCTAGGTCAATATTTAGGGGGGTTTTGGGGGGTATAAATGTAAAAATTTCGCTAAAAACAGGTCAAAAGTTTTTCGCTTATAACTTTTGATCTAATTAAGATCGAGCAAAAAGAAAAGCACCAGTGAACTCAGCACGTCAAGGCGCGTCGAATGATATACCTTTTAGCTTGCTCAAGTGTACTTAAAGTTTTTCTTAAATTTTAAGTAAACTTAACTTAATAAATTAAGTTCAAGTTAACCAAATTGCATCATATCGCATGTCATTTGATTCGGCTCATCACCAGGAACACAATGATACCATTTTTTAAGCTTTAGCGTAATTATTAGGTCGTTCAATAAGTAACGAACAATCGGTCATAACTTCTTTATTTCTTTATTTAACACTTTCAAACTTTCACAGATTATAGATCAGACATTTCTGAATGCAGCCTATGCCTCAAACCAGTCGGCGGCCGCCTGCACACACTTCTCCCCTCCCAGCTTTCCGGCCAACGCCGGAATTCCGCCCGGAAAAACGCGTTTTCCGTCTTTTTCACCCAGTTCATGACAGCGCACATGACTTCAGCGTCGGTCTCGAAGTGTTCACAATGGAGGCCATCCTTTAGGGGACCAAAGAGGTGAAAATCTGAAGGAGCCAGGTCCGGACTGTAGGGCGGCTGGGGCATGATATTCAGCACTGTCACGCGATCTCCTCGCGCGTGGCGTGAGACAAGTGCGGTCGGGCGTTGTCATGGTGTATGGTGATGTTGACATCCGAGCCGTGCCTCTTCTTCAGGATTGCTTTTCTCAGTCTCCTGCAGGACTGTGATGTAGCGGCCCGCTGTCCATAGTCCGCCCAGGTTCAAGAAAGCCCACCAGGATGACACCATGACAACGCTCGTCCGCACTTGTCTCACGCCACACGCGAGGACATCGCGACCGCGAGACAGTGCTGCCATGCCCCAGCCGCCCTACAGTCCGAACCTGGCTCCTTCAGATTTTCACCTCTTTGGTCCCCTGAAGGATGGCCTCCGTGGTGAACACTTCGAGACCGACGCTGAAGTCAGGTGCGCTGTCAAGAACTGGGTGAAAAAGACGGAAAACGCGTTTTTCCGGGCGGAATTCCGGCGTTGGCCGGAACGCTGGGAGAAGTGTGTGCAGGCGGGCGGCGACTGGTTTGAGGCAAAGGCTACATTCAGAAACATTTGATCTATAATCTGTGAAAGTTTGAAATTATTAAATAAAGAAATAAAGAAGTTATGACCGATTGTTCGTTACTTATTGAACGACCTAATATGTGCCAAGTTATTGGCAAAAACGTCATTTGACCTCAGTTGACCTCATTTGACCTGACCCATGGATAAGTACACCAAACAAAGAAGCACCAAGTGACCTGCTGTTAAGTACCGTGGTTTCAAAGCACAAAAGTGATAAAACGAAGCGGATATCTCCAGTATTTTCCGAATTTAGTATTTTCCCATAGGCTTAACATTACGACGTAATGACCTCTAACTGACCTCAGGTCAGTGACCTAAAAAAAAACGGACTATATGTTATACAACTCGGTGAACTTAGCACATCCTGAAAGTTTGAAGGAAATCAGTCGAAAACTGTGAGTTGGACAGGTGCAAACAGAAAATTGAAATTTGACCATGACCTTGTACCGGTTTTTCTGACCTGGTGACCTGACCCAAGGTCACCCGGACCTGAAATTTTCAGGTCATATGTAAAAAGGTTGCGCCATAGGCTGTGCCAAATTTGGCGGCGCTGCGCGCCGCCGTTTTTACGCTATCTTCGAAAAATCTTAGGGGGGGGGGTCGCATCGACCCCCCCCCCCCCCTGCCAGGGCGAGGGTTAAGAAGAGCTGTATTGTATGGATACCCATTTTTCTATCATAATCTCCCCTAGACCTGTCCACCTGATGCTTTGTGATTGATTAATGAGGTGGAGAGAGCCAGGATTGAGTTCAAAGCAGCTGCTGGTGAAAGTTAGCAGACTGCAATGTATGGCAACATTGGGAATGAACCAGACCAGGGGCATAACTTGAAGGTAATCTACACAAGTCCTTACCAACCAAGCCAGTAATTCACAGAAGCCTAAAATAATAATAATGAATACACAGAAACAAAATAAATGTATGCCAGAAAAAATCTGACCATACAATAAGCTTTTACTCTTCTGCAACCTTGAATTGTATTTTAAAAAGTAATTAGATTGGTAAGCCACCAGCAAGACATCACTCTTGGTATTACTCCTGACTGGGAGAAGCATATCAACAGAGCTGCTGCGCTACATTAAGCACCAGGGTGACAAATATACACCAGCTCCCACAAAAAATAGGCTGGAAATCAGCAGCACCAGCCTGCACTAAACTAGTTCCTTACCATTTGGCACACCTTGTTGTGCTTTCACTTCCTGACATTCTTAAACAACACTGTGCCAGCAGAGCATTTGAGCATTGTAATACATTTGGGCCTGCACCACTCCACTCAAAATCCACATACCATTTAATTTGCACTGCACTGGGCAGACCTGACCCACTGCAGACTATAAATTAAAATTACCACACTTTGCCCCTACCCTGGCACAGACAAAACCTCATCAACCAAAGTTCAAGTTATGCTTAACAGTCGGGAGGCATCCATATGTTCCCCAGTTCCTATTAGCCACACATATGCCACAGTAGATTATGTAGGTTGTAGGCTGCAGGTTGAGGATGGCAGGTTCAGTTGGGCAAACTAGACTTTTGGAATCAAAATATGGAGGCATCAATAATTTGATTCTGGTGGGAGGAGTCATGACCAAATATGGGCATGGAATCAATTTTTTGATTCATTTGGATACACTTTTGACTTCAAATGTATCGTTACGGTTGAAAAAAGGCCCATGACGGTGAGATTTTTGTTTAAAAAGGTAGAAAAATGTGGTAGGTTTGCAAAAAGTGTTACCTCAAAACTGAGAAATTGTCCCTTTGGCCTTGTGAATGGGAAAAAGACAGAGGTACTGTCCATCACGTAAAAGCTGTTTTGAGGAAATCACACTGTATGTTATTTTTGTATCATGAATCGCATACTAAACAATCAGTATTTGTGTAAATTGGCAAAATGAAATTTTTAAACCCCTAATTATCATTGTTGTAGTGCTTTTATATTTATTATATGGTTTTTACCTGTTGCTTCAGTTTTTGTATTCTTGACATTTAAAAATTGTGAATTGTTATCAAATGTAGTGAAGGTAAAGTACAACAATGCTATAGGTATCTGTTGTGGTGCTGAGGATACCACTTAATGAGAATAATAGCAAGATAAATGTTGTATTCTTGCAAGTCATTGTTGCCTATCTCTTAACATTACCTGTGAATCAAAATAATGATTAGCCAGCTGATGGGGAATCAATATTATGATTATCTGTTTGAAGTGAATCAATTCCTTGATTGCCTTTCACTACCTATAGAATTCAACTTGTTATGATAGGAGCAATATTATTTTGCTTAGGAGATACTTCCAGCATTTCTGTTCAAGATCAGGCATGCTCCTTCTTGAAACACTCTCTTATTTTTAAGCGTTTGGTAAGTTAGAAATGGTCTGCATTTATGCCCAAATATGGTCATAAGGAATCAATCTTTTGATGCCTCCATATTTTGATTCCAAAGGTCTAGTTTGCCCAACTGGGTTGGTAGGTTGCAGGCTGAAGAGAAGGTTAAGTCAGGTTAGATAAAGATTTGTTTTATAGTTCACTGTGAAAAGACACTTGTGACAATAATAAAAAGTGAACTTTGTGGCATACGATTTGCACCCTCACAGTCTGGGTACCCCGATGTTACAAGGTGATTGTGCAATACAATGACCTAATGTAATAGAGGTTCTACACCAATGACTACAAAGCCATCAATTTTCATTAAATTGTAGGCAATCTCAAGTGCAACACTCATGTCCCCATTAACCACCAAGTCAATTTCTGTTCATTATTCTCGCTTATACTACCCTATCCCAACAAAATTTTCTCAAATTGCCATACTATTAGGTACCTATCTAAATAAATGGTCTAGTTATTTTAGACTTGAGAGAATCACTAACCTTTGTCATATTTTCCCTTCTTCCGACCTCCCATTTCAATAAAATGCAACAATTATCACAAACAGCTGGTATTTGAAATATCAGCAAGACATAAAAAGTCCAACTGTTCTGACGCCCCAACACGCGGTACAACTACAACTTGAACTCCGAACTCAGGCTCGAAAGCTCCAAAGCGTCCAAAGTGAAAGCCACACTGACGACACGGCTTCGAACAATATGCGGGGGGAAATCCCCGTAGACTTCCTTGGAAGTTACTTCAGTCACCATTATAAATTGCGTTTCTTCTTGACAAATGACGTCATCGAAAAGGTATCCCTTTTGATAGATAAGATCGAAATTCTCACAAAAGTATGTCAAAAAAGGCAACAAAAGCCATTAAATTAATAAAAATTATGAAAACATTGTGCTAAAAGCACTAAAAGTTATCAAGTCTTTCATATTGTTCCGAATATTTCTTTCTTTGTGGTGTAACTCATGATGTCGTTTATATAATTTCTGAAACGTTAGCCTTCCCTTATCGAAACTACTGCGCAGTTAATGTCTTCATACATTGCTACCATATTTTATGCAATTGAAGCGAACGTTTTATGCTGAATGTTTGTCCCGAAACACGTGTGCAAGGCCCTCTTTATATCACGTGTATGTGTGTGTGTGTTGATGAGGATAAGGCTTGTCTGTGCTCATTACAATGATATGATGTGCAAAAAGAGGCTCAGAAGTCAGAATCCATATTGATAAAGATTCATAAGCTTCAATTTCTGCAATTGCACATAATTGCCTACGAGGCGTGTCACGCATGCATTGCACTGGTGCCGGTTTATATAGCCTTGCTGGTGCCTACTTGTAAATGTATTCGGTGTTTGTTTGAGCACCTAACCGTCCAAGGCCCTATATAGACTAACCGTCCTTTGTGCTCTTCTTGACCCTCATCTGTTATTTTTTCTCAGCTCATTTGAATGTCTAATTGTCAGACATGCCAGGACACTGGGAAGAACTGGCGGGAATATTTTATGTGGGAGAGAAGAAGTCTGAGACAAAGAATATCTGTTTTCTATCTCGCCAGTTTTTAAGGTAGGACTTAGGTCAGAAAGGTCTAGAATAGAAGCTCAGAACTTTTTGACAGGTTTCACCCATGGGGCAACTATGCAATCACTTATTTAGCCTTTAACCCGCGCACCGACGGGGGGGCGGATATCCGCCCCCCTGAGGTTTTTCGCGAATAGCGGGAGCGCCGCGAAATTTGGTATGACTATTCCCTTATCAATTTTACACATGGTGTGCAAGTTTGAACCTCCTACCTTTCAAGGTCAGGTCACCAGGTCACTTTGAATGACCCAACCTCAAGTCACTTTTTTGCAACTTTGTCACCGTGCCAGAGCTACAGTAGATGTCGGAGGCCTTTGAAAGTTGCAGGATGTTATTAGGCCATTAGTAGCTACAATTTGTATATCTCGGAATTTTGATATCGGTGACCTAAGGTCAGGTCAATTTCGCGACCTCCCCATTATAAGTCAATGGGGGAAAAATCAACTCCCTGTTTTTACCACTAAAACGGGTCGGAATGGCCCCATATACCATACATGACTTCATATACGATCAACCTTCACTACCTTGAGGTCTGTTTTGCTGTTGGGCAGCTGTGAGGTCATGTGACGTCATCAAAGGTCACCAAAGGTTTTTGGCCAATAACTCCGTACAGGAACAAGATACAGACGCGTGGATGGTCTCATTGTGTTCAGCTCGTCAAGACGCATCGAATGATATACATGATGACCTCGAGGTCACGTGACCTGAGGTCAACCTTTGACCTTGACCTTTCGAGGTCAACATATATATCATTCGATGCGGATTGACGAGAGGATCACGATGATGCCCTTAGTTTGTTCCTATCTTGACTAATTCGAAAGTTATTCGAGAAAAACTCTCTCCATATTCAGCGCCGCCATTTTGACTTTTTCGACCCCTGTGACGTCATCTTTGACCTGACCTGAAAATGACCTTAGTAAAAATTGTAGATCTTGACCGTGCGTATCCGATGCCGTTTACCGCTTGTCGCTATCTTGCTTCGTTCTCGAGATCTCAGGGGGGGGGCGGTCATCCGCCCCCCCCCCCCCGTCGATACTAAGTTGGCGCAGACCCCCGTCGGTGCGCGGGTTAACAGGCCTACAATAGAAAAGATCATGGTTATGTCTAAATATGATCAAATAAATGCAAAAACTTCTGTCAAGTTAGGCCTATTTATCATTTTTGCATTTGTATCATGCACATGTCAGTAGGTGGAACTATGGTCATGAGTACCCAAATATAGGAACGTTCCCATTTTTAGGAACGAAGTTCCCAAATATGGGAACGGGCGTTCCCATTTATGGGAACGGAAGGTAATTTTTCGGCCGTTCGCCCACTAAAACTCATTAGTGCATCACGTCTCAAAAAAGTGCACGCTAATTTAAGTATCTACTAAGTCTCTATAAAATTATCTTTAATCTGACCGTTGCACAAGGAAATTGACCGTCAAATGATATTTTTAATGATTTTTTGAAATGACGGAATAGTGAAAACATGGGTTATACTACATTTAACTTGCAATTTTAAGGAAAATGAAGCGTTTTTTACATTTTGAGGTCAAGTATAATAATTTTCGCCTGGTTATGAAGTTTCATACTAGCGAAACTAGATGCTGACATATGCAAGCGAACACGCGGACAGTCCGGGGGTAATATTGGTGACATTTGGTGTCGGGGCGCACGACCGCATGGAACGTCAGTGATTTTACCGAACTACTGTTGTAAACTCAGTTTCCGTGGTTTAGAATTATTCAGCTGTATTATATCATCCCAGATAGACATATTTTATTTGGATGCTAGCTGTTTAGAGTTGTTTTATAAGGAGCGTCATGAGCGTGGTTTTTGTCTTCCGTGTTTCTAAGCGTGATCGTTTTGGGGGAATTTCTCTTATATAGGTCGCTCTGTGTGGCTTATTTATAATTTTTATGCTGATTTCGATCATTCCTCGTGCCCATCCTACCAGGCCTTTTGCCACTTACACTCATCAAGAAAGGAAAAAACTAGATTTTCATTGGGACTAGGTGTTTTGAGGATATAACATATTCAGCGTTCCCATTTTTGGATACTTCCTTGTGCTCGTCAACTATCGGTGATAAACAGACAGGTGCTTGACATGTCTCCTCCCTCGGCGCGGACGGTGGATATAGGTATGGAAGACCTTGTTGAACATCGCTGAGCGTTGTGAATTACGTAATCCTGCAGAGGGGGGCGTGCCCGCTGCGAGATCGACGGGAATAAAAGCGCAGAAGACCGGGCGAAACATGCGACGGTCTTGCCGGAAAGGTCATCTGATGATTGTTGCGTTAACAATAATTTGCGGCGTTGGACGTGATGCTTGTTAATGAAAAGAGCCCCTGAAAGGCGTCGGTGAAATCGTTCCCAATTTTGGGTACGCCGTTCCCATAATAAGGAACGCTTGCAGCGCCAGTGTACGAGAGCGTTCCCAAATTTGGGCTCGCGGCCCGGATGATGGACTGCGTTAGAAATAGGGGAACGATTTGAAACTACGATGGGCCTTACAATATCAAACTCTTTCCCAACAATATTGAGACAAATATCAGGTGGTTCACGATCGTTTTATATTTTTTGGACGTCATTTAACGGTTCTTTTTCTTGTTTTAAATAATGCCTACATGGCGTTCCCATATTTGGGTTTATCGTTCCCAAACATGGGAACGAAAATGCGTTCCCGAAAATGGGTACGCTTGACCATAGTTCCGCCTACTGATGTGATAAAATCCTTGTTATTTTACATTGTAATATATTGGCTTTTAGTTATAGACGTGGAAATAAATCACATTAAATTACTCACTATTTCCTCTTCTTTTCTGAGCAGTGACTGGCGATACCTGAGGATGGGTGAGGAGGCAGACAGCATGGTGCCCTGTGATCCAAATGACTGCTCACCTGGGAAGGATGATGCTGCTGATGCTGATGATCATACTGGAAGTGCTACAGGCATCAAAGGCAGGCCGATGGAGCTTTACCAGGCACCCCTACAGGAGTATAGTGAAGAATTTGTCCAGGATATTGAGGCAATGAGGGCCATGGGCCTGCCCCTTTCATTCACCAACCGCCAAGCAATTGATATTGATGAGGTGGGTGGCTGACTGGAACTCATTTGGTTGTGTAAGAGACAAGTAACATTTTATGACCTTTAATTGTGCTTAATCTGTCTATGATGTATGTTTACACTATTGATATTATCAGGAGCTCTAATGGCTATTAGAGATATTCTATTGAAACTTTAAATTTTACTCTTTTTTTATATGTTGACCTAACTGATTAAACACTAATCCCCAGCATAAAGTTATGTAGTATGTACCTATTTTGTAGTTATTCAATGTATTTGTGATGGGCCTGAAACCTTACATTTCCACATAAATTGAGCCAATGATTTATATAATGCTGCAAATCCATAGGGTATCACCTTTCTATTCCACTTCCTACTAGGAGGAATGGGTGGCCACTGCCAGTGAGGCCCCGCCTCCAGCACCTGCTGCTGTGACATCACACCATGTATCTGTGACATCACTGGAGATGGACGCGTGTGTGACGTCACCCCGCTCGGCGGTGTCGGGCTCCTCGGAGGTGACGGATCAGACGGAGGAGAGCGTCCCATCGCCGGGCGGCCTGGAGTGGCTGCGGTGCGACTACGGCGGTGGTCGGGGCGAGCCTAGTCTAGAGTGGCAGGTATGGCACTGGGATGGTTGGGAAAACGAGGTGTGATGGGGAAACGATCGGGGATGGGGGCGAAAGAAAAAGGATTTGCTGCCGTGTTGATGAGTTGTGGCGCAAATAGGTTTCTCTATTCTGGACTATCGGTCACCGGATGTGTCGCGAATTTATGTTGCATGCATTTCGATTAGCAATGCTTCATATTTTGGCAACTCTTGCAGCAGTAGACCCCTTCTGGTAAAGCTGGTAGCTAGTGTCGTTCGGACAATTTGTGAGTCTGCTCATCATTCTGTAATATTCTTACACGATCCTGTGACCACAGGTGTGTGAGCCGCGGCCCGGCTCTGCCGATCTCCAGCGCGCCTGGGAGCAACACTGGGCCGCCTGTGGCGAGGCCGAGGTACTCCGCACGTGGACGGAGAAGTACCGCGACTACATCGACCCTGCCTACCTGGAGGGCACTCAGGACACTGCCGGTCACGACTCCGATGCCGTCGCCGACTCCGCCGCCGCCAGTTCTACTGACACAGCGGATCCCACAACAGGGGACGTCAGCTCGGGTGTGACTGAGGATCGACTGTCCAGCACCGAGCGAACATCGGGTGCCATGTGCGAGGATCAGGTCGGTGTGCCAGCCTCGGCCTCTGATGAACCGCACTCAACGTCAGGCTTGGGCGATGGACAGGACGGAACTAAACCCACTCCTGGTCCCAGTCTGTCTACAGCTGAAGACTGTCAGGAGGGCGATCAGGCAGACGTCGAGAATGAGTCTGGTCCTGACGCCGTAAAGAGTGAACCACAGCAGTTCAACTGGGATGAGTTGTGGCAACAGCACTATCAGGAGGTTTACAACCAGATGATGGCGTCTTTCACCGACGGCTGGGGCAAAGAGACGGAAACGACGGGGGTAGAGACGGCGGGGAACGAGGCTAATGCTGGGTCGGGCACAGACCCAAAGAACGGAGTGGATGACGTGAAGGACGGAGTGAGTGTGCAAAAGATGCCTCAGGATGGGATGACGAACGATGTGGCAGTGGAAAATACCGGACAGCAGGAAAAGGAACTGAAGAGTAGCGGAAAGAAGAAAAAGAACATGTCTTCTAGAAAGGCCAAGTAATATTACATATGCATGTGATATGAAAATGAAATATGCATGTGATTAACGTGGTAATTGATATGATAGACAACTGCAAAATATTGCAGGTTTTCTTTTTGTCATTTTATATTAAATTCACCTGTAACACAGCAAAGGCAGAGATGTTTGCTTCGCTATAGGATGCAGTTCAGTAACTTTTATTGCTATTTTATTACGGAGATCGACTATTTGAAGGTGTCGGCGACATGGGCATATAGGGTTCTGTTTCTGTTTATACATACGTCATGCCGCACGCGCCTGCTGACGTCAGCCTCTTCTTCCATTATATTTCTCAGAGAGATGAAGCTGAACAGTGTGGGCGCCCTGCTGCAGCAGCTGGCATCTGAACCTGAGCCCCAACAGCAGCAGGATCCGACCGTCACGGCAGGTTCTGACGTCATTGGGAACGAAGTAAATGGTTCTACGGTTCAACTCGGGGATGATGCCGCGGCACAACCGGAAAAAGAAAAGGAGGACGGCAAAGCAAGAGAGGACCATGAGGAAGAGGAGGAGGAACCGACGCTCTCGTATGTTCATCGTATTTACTATGTTACCAATTACAGCTTGGTTTTGTGGCATTCTATCAGCTACCTGTAGCCATATTTGTGCTTTGTTGACGTGTGGTGTTTCGTGTATCCTACTAGTTATATCGTAGTTTTCGTTATGCGATTGGCTGGAATGATATCATTAGGATTTACTGTCCCTCACGCATAAACCCTTACGTCCGCCATTGGCAGTGGGCCGGGAACGCTGTCACACGCCGAAGGTGCTCTGACCATGCTGGGATTCTGTCACGCTCCGCCCGCTGATGACGACACAAGACCAAAGGCCGCACACGTCATCTACCGACAGAAGCGACTGAAGCAGAAGACCCGCTCGCTGAATATGACCAAAACGGCCTTCAAACATGATGATCTCTTGAAACGGGTAGGTTCCATTGAAGTAATTTTTGTGTCTTTTTCGCGATCACATCTCGCATATTTGAATGTCTGTGAGACGTTAGCGCATTACACTAAGCGGTATGATAAAAACGCCGTTCTTTCTCTGGTCGAGCGCTAACTTCTTTCTTTCTTTCTTGTTTATTGTCACTTATATCAATACCACATGCTCGTTTCAGACACAGAACCTGTTGAAGAGGTTTCAAGATGACGCTGCGCCGGCTGCCGAACCGACCTCAGAGTCATCTACTGCCGACCAACCGTCCGGCCTTCCAAATGGGACATCGAACACGGATTCGAACAGCTCCGGTCCATCCACTGATGTCTCAGAGTCACCTGCTGTGGTCTCCGCTGTCTCCCCGACTCCAGAGACAGCCGGAGACACAACCACCCCCATCCCTGCCCCCGCCTCTGCCAGTGATAGTCGACGATCGGCCCCCTCCCGGGACAGAGGCCGGGGTAGGGGCGGGAAGAGAGCGGGCTCCAAACGCTCTCGCCCGGCCCAGCCGATGCCAGAGGAGATGAGAACGTCGACCGAACTGCAGAAGTACTGGTATCAGCGCTACCGGCTCTTCTCCAGGTGGGGCTCGGTGATGTGCTATTGTATCGAGTGCTGCAGTCGCCGCGTTTGGGTTGAGATAAGGGAAGCATAAGTATTCAGATGCTGGTGATTGGCGGAGGTTAGTGCACCCGTGCTTAGTTTGCACATACTTTCCATTGCTTGCATTGATGTTTCGTCAAGTCACTTCACGGCTCATAGGCAGTCGCGCACCCGCGGCCTATCTACTGGAAACAGGCGTCATTTCGTAGTTCAAATTTGGCCCCCTCCTGTCGTCAAATTTGACGCGAGTGTTCTTCTGACCCTCTTCCCTCCATTCAACAGATTTGACGAGGGTATTCGTCTGAGCGGCGCCAGCTGGTTCTCGGTGACCCCCGAGCAGATCGCCCGGCACCTGGCCGACCGGTGTCGCGCGGACGTCATCGTTGACGCCTTCTGCGGCGCCGGCGGCAACGCCATCCAGTTTGCCAACACGTGCGAGAGAGGTTAGTGGACGCCCGAGGCAGTGTCGGCAGTGACTGTCGAGTGGTACTGGCAGCCAGGACTCGCACACTCGACCGACCGGGACGACGGTGGCGCCACCGCTCCCTAAGCAGAGCTTGTGTGGGTCCCGACCCCTCCTCCGATCGGGCAATTCCTAGATGTCAAATTTAAGCGTGCCCATCAAAGCTGGACACGGCCTGTCTATCAACTGGCTCAAGTCATACAATATCGAGCGCCGGAGCGACTCGAACCCGGACCACGGGATTCCAAAGCTCTACCAACTGGGCCAGGCTGTCTCACTTACCCATCGTTGTTCAGTTTGGCCACGTAACCTCTCTGATCCTCCGTGACCCAGCCATGCCCCTTTGACCTCTGTTGACCTCCTGTGACCCTGTTGCGTTGTCTCGTTCGACAGTAATCGCCGTGGACATAGATCCAGAACAGCTGGCGTTGGCCCGGCACAACGCAGCCGTCTATGGAGTCCAGGACAGGATAGAGTTTCTGGTGGGCGACTTTTTCCAGCTGGCGCCGCGACTCCGGGCCGACGCGGTGTTCCTGTCGCCGCCCTGGGGAGGTAGGTGACATACCGGGGGTGGGGCTGGGAACCCCGAGAGAGGGACAACTGCGGGCGAGAGAGGTCGGGGAGATAGCGGCTGGAAATTTAGGGGTAGCGGTAACGGCGGTAGGGTAGCGGTAGAAATTGGTGACACGGCGTTTTAGAGATCGATTCCGCTGACGCTGGTTCGGGAGCGGACAAATTGTGCCCGCGTTACTTTCTAGTTATTCATTTATTTTATTTTATTTTCCTTATACGTTATTTGTATTTTTTTTTTGCGTTTCTTAACTTACATGAAGACTTATCCTAATAAACCAATGTGCACACTTTTATCTTGTGTGCTCAGTGTAACCCCACGGATGATACGTATTACGCAACCCTCTAGGCTCTGTCATTGCCACCCTCACCACCGTTAGTGACCTCTCGTCTCATCGCCCGCCAGGTCCGCTGTACTGTGACGCGCCCGTGTACGATATGTTCCGTCTGGACGGCACCGTGGACGGCCGGCAGATGATGAGTGCCGCCCGCAACATCACAGAAAACATCGCCGTGCTGGCGCCGCGTAACGCCAACGTCCACCAGGTGAGAGGCCCGACCCGGCCTGACACGGCCCGACCCGACCCGACTGGTCTTAAGGCTCAAACAGACTCTTTCCCCAGCCAGGAAATCGCATGCGAGGGCCTATTCAAATACATTATAATCCTTCCCGCATCATCGCATAAGGCAGGTGCGTGCGATTGATGCGAGCGTGAGATGATGGATTTGAATAGACTCTCGCATGCGATTTCCTGACTGCGGAAAGTCTGTTTCAGGCTTTATGGTGGGACAGTAAGGGAGGCATGGGAAGAGGGGAAACGAGGACTGAGGCTTGTAATGTTGCGCTGGGCTAGTTTAGCCTTCCAGGCGGTGGGGGGGGCATTTTTTGCCCCCCCTTTAGTTTTTTCGATATATCTCGAGAACCGCTGCGCCGATCGTCACCAAACTTTCAGTACCCTCCCGGCAGCAGCTAGCGCACAAGGTGACCAAAAATTTTTCCAAAGGCTATGATAGGTTGGCCGCTAATGACGTCAGAGTGACGTCATTTTTGCCATTTTCGACCCAAAAAAAGGTTTCGCGGGAAGAGCTGTCAGGCCTACAGCTTTAGAGATACAGAAAAATGTTTCCAACATAAAAGGTGTTGAATTAAAAGGGCTACAAAACTGCTATTTCGGTTTTTCGAATTTTTTGGATTTTGACCCCCAAAAATAAAAAAAAATAGATTTTTTGAATATAATAGCCAAAAAATCCAAAAAGTTTTTTGAATTTCGAAAAAACCGGAATATATGTGATAGCCCCTACCGCCTTCTATCTACATACCAAATTTGAGATCGATACCTCTTTTTTTGGCCAAGTTATAGCGAAAAAACTGTTCAAAATTGATGACGTCAAATTTTCAAACTCAATTTTTTGCAATTCTAGACCTCGTAGCGCAAAACAAAGACCACCATCAGACTCCCCGTGACGAGCTGCATCGAATCGATACCCATTTTATGCAAAAATATCAAGTTTGAAATTTGACCTTTTTTGACCTGACCTTGACCTGACCTCCACCAGAAAGTGACCTAAACCGTACCTGATGGTCTTATAACCAACACCATTGAGTTGGAAATGAAAAACTGGCCATAAAACATGCATCGCATAACCTTGGTAAAGTTGGGCTCATGTGGTGACCCTTGGTGACCTTTGGTGACCTGACCTGTGACCTGACCTGGTATGACCAGTGACCTCTAATAGCAACATATGTACTAGACAACTGACGCCTTATCGCTGATTTTCGACAAAGTGCGTTTTACTCGGTGTTATAGCGCTTTCCCTAGAAGCCCCGTGAACGGTGAAACATTTTATCTTTGACCTGACCTGTGACGTCATCGGTGACCCCGAGGTCAATGAAATTTGGTTTTCCTCGACAAATTTGACAGGGCTATCGAACGCCGTTTGAATTTTCCGGATCCGTCCAGTAGTTTCGGAGATACGGGGGGGGGGCAAAAAAGTGCCCCCCCCCCCCACCGCGCGGAAGGTGGCTGGTAGGCCCACCGCCTGCCGGGTTAGTATGACTCAATGGGTCTCTCTTGCCGGAGTCGGGATTAATGCCTTCTGTCCCCGACGCTCTTTTGGTCGGCTTATCATTAGCTGGCTGTGTGAGTTCCCCATTCATCCATTCATCGATTTATCCATTCATTAGTGCCGTGCCCTGCCGGAGCGTGGTGCGTCGCAGGTCTGCTATCGACCGCGTGATTGCGTCACTCCGCTGCCATGACGTAATAGTTGGGGGCGGACCTCGCGCGGCGATTGAAGTCATGTGGATTAGGGGCGGATAAAGTCGTGGAGCAGAGTGGCGCAGTGGAAGCGTGCTGGGCCCATAACCCAGAGGTCCGTGGATCGAAACCACGCTCTGCTACGTTTTGACCTGGCTGGGTCGGGTGGTAGGTCAATGCTGAAAGGCGTAGGTATACATAGGGTCTGTTCCCGTCGCTCCTCCCAAAAAAATCTCGGATGAGGTTGGATGAGCTTGGAGGAGAGCCGTTTCAGAGGAGCCACGGGAACATTTTCGCGAGGAAATCAGCTGTTTGCGTGCTGTAACGGTCGGCGATTTATGGCGCGCAAACATAAATCAAGAGATAATAATCGCTTTCTAATAAAATAACCTTAGATTAATATCAAACATTACTATTTAAAGATATCCAATCGTCATCAATCACTAAAATCATTTCCACTTCCCTCAAATCTCATTTATAAACAATTCACATTTGTATTACGTGCGCCAAATATGTCTACGCAAGAGCCTCCTCCAAAAAACCAACTTTCGTTTGGGATGAGGGAGGAGGCAAATAGTGGTGGTGAGATGTGAAATCAAGATGAGCTTGGAGGAGCTTGGAGGAGCGACGGGAACGATTTTTTGAAACGAGAGGAGGTTAGAGGAGCTTGGAGGAGGTTAGAGGAGCGACGGGAACAAACCCATAGTTTTTGCTCTCGCACACGACCGGTCGGTATTAATCGTCATCAAAATCCACATACATATGTAGATGCCAAGACTGCGAGTTGAATTATTGTAGCATTTCGTTAGTTAGACAACTGCCCACTCGGTAACCATCAGCACCTCTGACCCTCTTTCTGCCCCTCCCCCCTCCCGCCAGCTAACGGAGCTGGCCGGGCCTGGCGGTCAAGTAGAAATCGAGCAAAACCTGCTCAACGGAAAAATCAAGACCATCACCGCCTACTATGGCGATCTGATAGCCTGCGGCGGAGGTGCGTCGTGACGTCAGCAAAGGGGGCGGAGCTCCGGTGCCGTGACCCCTGTGCAGGTCACGGAGGCGGGGCGGAGCTTGGGCGGCGGGGGTGATGTGTTGGTACTGTGAGATTAGCGCAGGTTAAGATCCGTGGGGTCGGATGCTGGTCTCAGTCGTTGTTTGACGATAGGCTGTGCTGTGAACACGTGCCGTTTGAGATGGATTTTACATCATTTTTCACATTTTTGTATGATTGTGCAATGCATTGTGCAACGTAAGTGTGCCCATCATTCATGCTAGTTTACCGCTGGTTCCATCTTGCGCTATATTTCGAACCTGAACTCAATCCGGTCACCTGTCAATAGACATCTCATTCCAACAGTCAACTTGGCGTTATAAATTTACGATGTCGATTTAAACACCATCCATTTCATCTCAGTGCGCTAATAAAAGTAGAGTATCCCGAAGTTCATCTGGCTTTGATTAGGTTTAAAAATTAATACATGACAGAAAAGTGGCCACAGTTGCAAAATACCTAACCATCATTCGTTCCGCCCTACCCGTGCAACAATTTTCGGTAAAGCACGCTCTGAAAAGGAAAATAGCTAGTACCGCCTTTCAGAATATCGCCCAAATGGCCTTTGTCGACGAGGTCAAGGTGTCGTTAACCTTATGCCATTATACAGAATAATATCGCAGCCCTTGCGTGTCATTGACTTCCCGCTCGGTTTGAGCCGTCAGTGGGACCGTTTTCTCTCGTACGTCTATTCGGCAACATATTGCCTGTGTGTCGTGACAGGAAATTTGTCAGAATGGCGTTATCAGGTGTGATTTCTCGGCCCATGGCGATTCTTTCTGAGGTTCCCAGAGTCTACGGTAGCACAGTATTCTACGTGACAGCTTGGTCATCCCTCCTAGTAAACTCATCCATGCACCAAAGCATCCATTATTCCCCTTGGATGTGTATTTTGCAAATGCACACAACCTTCCCCCGCCCCACCCCGACCTATCCCCACCTCAGCATAAGACCCCTCCACCCCTCCAGCGTTATCTGCCCTCCTCCATCGGCGGGGACTCCAGCGGCTTTCGGTACTTGCACTGGTTCCATACGCGGTACATCTTCAGCTGCCGGCCCCGGTTGACCTGAAGTCGACGATCGACCAGGTTTTGAACCTCCTCCAGACCGGCGCCCGTGAATATGCGCCGCAGCTCCTCTGGGAAACGGGAGAAAGGCACTGGTGCGTCAAACGAGGACCTATGTATTTGGTATACTGAGCATGATTTGTTCACGGGTGCACGATGAAAGGATTGGAAGCAGGGCCCAGATGTGATAAAGCACAGTAATTGTGCATAATTCCTAAAACGTTCCGAGACATGCCTGAGACGAGCTGGCAGCTACGATACAGATATGACGCTCTCATTCCGAATAAGAGCTGGCTTGTGTGACCTAAACTTCCCAATCAAACACTCGCACCAGTCGCGGTATCCTGTAAGCGTCTCACCACTCCACCGACTCACCTTGTGTGAAGAAGTAGACGAGCGTGCCGTCACCCCGGGCGTACAGGTTGTCCTCGAGGCATCGTCCCGGCTTGAAGCGCAGCTGAGCCATGTCATAGCGGCCGTAGTCGCGGAACAGAATCATACCTCCGGGTCGGAGGAACCGCGCCAGTCGCCGCACAGTGGGCTCGTGACTGGAGAGAGAGAGGTCGACGATCAGTCGTGTGAATCAGGCGGGTGGCATCAGATAGGACGAGGACCAGCAGCGAGGACCAACCGCCAGCTTTTGGCCTCACTGCCATCAAAGAGATTGAACAGATGAAGACGGTGAAATTGAAAACTCGTAATCTGAACATAAATGCATCGTTCAAACACACAGTTCCAACCAAGAAAAGCCATGTCAAATGGGCTTTACCAACCTTGCAGTATTCATCTCCGTTTTCAACATCTCTTAGCCACAATTCTGCTTGCAGCAACCTCCGTCCACCGTTCAGAGCCACTCACCGTGACGGATGCAGTGCCGACAGGACGAATATGAGCACGATCAGATCCAGACTGGACTCTGGGAACGGCACTTCAGCCTGCTCGTCCGACACGTCCATCACAAATGCGTGACACCTGAAGGCAGGGCGCAAGAAGCGGGCGTCAGAGGGTAGATTTCAGATATCCACACGACCCTATGACGTCTAAAAGAGTAGTGTGTGGCGTCATAAGGGGCGAGGTGGTGTACTCGTCACTTCAAGTCTACTCGAAAAGTCGTGCCCTACGAAGTACGCACGACCTTTGGGATTATACTGAGGATGACCTCATCTCTAACCTATGATTCACAAGCTGACCTCACGGGTCTTTCACTGAGCTCCGGTTGTTGACCGACCTCTGCCAGCTGTCGTCCACTTACATCTGCTACTTCTGCCTGTTAATCCGTACTTACCTCTGAGGGTCGTACTGCGGTGTCTGCCGGACGATCTTGACGGCCGACTCGGAGAAGTCGCTGCCGTAGACGAACAGGTGCGGGTCGCTGTTGGTCTCTAGCAGCGGGAAGACGGTGTTGCCGACGCCGCAGCCCACCTCCCAGACGCGGCGGCGCGCCTGCCAGCCCGGGTACGGCTCGCTGGGGGTCTGCGGGCGGGAAGAGGAGGCAGTCATCGTGTAGCTCTGAGGAACAACGTCCGTCGCTTCTTCAGTCGTCACTTTATATAGGTATGCGGTAAAAATAGCGTAGGCGTCCATCTTATGACTGCATCATCTAGGGCATCTAACTGTTGCTGCTTTTTATGTGTTAGGTACTGCGGATTGGTATAATCGCACTCCATGGCGGCGTTATGCAGTGTTCCTTACTACATAGACATACTGCAGTCCTACATCAGGTGCTGTGATAAGTCCCTCAACACGACGTCTAACTTACCTCTGGGAGTGGCTGTGATGTATCACTGGGCTCTCCTAGTTCGGGAAACTCCGTGAACAGCCAGTTCCTGTCTTTGAAGAATCTGTGAAACAGGAGTAGATACCATTAGCATTCGGTATTGTGTACGCTTCCAGACCATCACAACGGCTGACCATTAATCTCAAAACTCCTTGCCTCGCCTTCGCTTCGGTAAATGATGGGTGACTTGGTCAATTTGTTTGTGAGCTGAAATATAGATCCCTAGACCGTATGTGAGTACGCCGCCACTCCGCGCCTCACTTGTTATCGTGCTGGTCGTAGAAGGCGTCCCAGTAGGTGTTGGGCGCGCCGACCAGCCGCTCCGCCTTCTCCCGGTCCGCCTTCACGCTGGCGTTCTGTTCCACCTTCTGCCGGGCCTCGCTCTCCTGTTCCGGGCCCCACTCCACGTTATCCCTGCACGGAGGCAGAAACAGCAATGACGGCTGGACACTGCGGTGTAGTTAGCATTACAAAATAGGCCTCAGATGACTGAACGGAGATCCTATGTTTATCAGCGAGACAGTGCAATGGAATTCCCGACATGCCATTTTTGTCATCCATGAGCACAACTGAGCAGTGTTGAACGTCATCTCAAGTCCCTTACGATGATGGTCCATCTGAGCTATGAACATTTCACAACTCGCGCACCGCTTACCACGCATTGTGCTTGAAGACGTCGTCAGGGTTGTCCAGCGTCCGGTTTCCGAACTGGGGTCGTTTGTCGGTGGCCATGTGTCTGGGACTGGCAACACCCGATCTGGCAGCACTTGTTGGGACGTAGGCGGGTCCAACCGATGGTGTATGGGTCACTCTGTAACACATCATTGGCACAGGTTTCAATCCACAAAGACAGCTCTTTGGGGTTAGGAAGTGTTAGGTTATGTTCCCGTTCTGTTTTACTCACCCGACTTTATTTGTCCTTTAGTCGTTGGTCGATGGTCTGATAAAAAAACTAGACTTAGCATTTAGCAATCATCTAAGCCCAGTGGCTACGCCGGCAGGGTAGAGCATAAAGCTTCGGTAGCGTGCGTCCCAATGGCTCTGGATGGTATTCAAAAGGTATTTCGTATGGCATCTTAAGCCTCACTTATCACAGTATCATTGACATCTCATTTTCCTCATAGGCTAAAATCCGGTAATAAAACGAACAGCAAGCAGAAAGTATGTTTTAAATCAATTTATTCACGCGATTCATGTTCTGAATCGCTTAGCGCGACTGCAAGCACATGGTCCACAATGCATTGGAAATTCGTCGATCATATAACAAAATAATTTGATTGCAAATTACCAAGAGTGGGTAGGTAATGGGTACAGATGAGCACCCAGATGCCAACTATACGAAGGCAGGTAGATATAAACTTAGAAGCCTTAGCACTTAGCAGCCGCTATGAAGCAGCGTAATAATTTCAAGGCCAGTCAGGAACTGTTTTGAAGAGGGCGATGAGGTTTGGCTCTTCAGGAGCCAAAGAAAGAAAGGACAGAGTCCAAAACTAACGTCTCCGTGGCACGGTCCATATCGGATAGTGCAGAGGTGGTCTGCTGTCACCTATCGCATTCAGCGGAGGAAGTATTCTAGGTGTAAGGTTGTGCACTTCAACAAGCTGTGGAAGACAAAAGGCCCACCACAACACAGCTGGACCAGTGGTTCGACGCTGGGTGGCTCCGAGAGTCCAGAGACAGTCGTTGACGATCAGGAGGGGATCATTCCCCCTGTTCTCAAGGCGGTCATCCAATCTCATCCTGAGAGTAACCCTTCTCCGGGAATGCTGGGAGGCGTTCCTAGGGGAATCGGCGTCCCTCCCGGCGACCCAGTCATGGCCGACCAAGCTCCTGAGCCCCTCGATCGGTGTCGTCCTCGTCGGTTCCCTAGACGCCCACGATGTTTACAAGATGATTGCAACTAACATCAGGAGGGCATATTCATATTCCCAATACTGATTGAACCACTGAGCGTGCATATGTTTGTTTTGCTGCACTGTAAATACTCGTTTTGCATGTTGCATGAGTGTCGTGTCGCAGCTGCAGAGCACTCGTACATCTTGTTCATGTTAACATGTGCGTCCTTTACCCACCAGAAAACATGGGAGACCTCCTGGATGTAATCGACGCAGAGGCCTCTGACTGGCTTCGGAGCCAGGCGGCGGAATCTGCCACTGCGGTGAAAACGGCGCGACCAGCTTCGTCCGGAGATCCTGACCTTGGCGTGGCGGAGTCGTCGCACGCTCCAATCGCTCCATCGCAGTCCACCACCGGAGATCAGATGCACCTTCTTCTGGGTTGCTCCATCGCTCGTGACGCAGGACTGAAGGCCGGAACCGACCTGATCCTCAACAGAGCGCGCGAGGGAAACACCTGGGAGAGGGCCGCGGAAACCATCCAGCACGACTTCGAGGTCTGGGAGTCTGCAGCAGCGGCTGCCGGTCTCGGGCGCGGCCGGGTCATATTCTGGTTCTCCGGAAACGAGGTGTATGACCAGAAAACTGGATATGACTGCCTCAACGAGCGTGGGCCCCTGGATTCGGCCATCGCACATGTGATCAATACCGCTGTGCAAGACCAGGGGCGGCCACTCATCCTGGGACCGCTGCCACGTTTTCAAGTGGACCGATTGCTCCGCTGGGAGAAAACTGCCGCCAACAAACTGGAACGGAAGGTTAAAGGGGTGGCGGCTGAAGTGGACTTTCACTCGCTGGGCAAGGCCCTGACGAAGAAGTTCCGCCGGCAACATGTGGTCGTCGACAAGTGCCACGAGTGGTTCGCGGCGGACGGCATCCACCTTTCCCGTGCGGGTTACGCTAAGGTGGCGGACGCCACCTATTTCCCCCGGTGGCTGAGTGTCCTCAGCAGCGATGCCTAATCCCGGGGTGGGAACGTAGCGGGTTGAGTTTTTTTACGTTTTGTTTGTTGACTTTCGCGATTAACAACTATTGTGTAAAACATTCATTTGCATGTGTGTGCGCATGCGTGTTTCTTTCGGCACGAAAGCCTTTTCTTTCGAGGGAGCATTGTAACGCATGTTAAGTTGCACGTGTTTGATATCCGTTGGGCTGTGCGATCGGCTGTTGGTGACATCGCGCGGCTCGCTGGGGTCCGCTGCTTCTGGCCGCGGCCAGCGACACACAGAACCTCGCCTCAGGGCAGGCTGCGCATGCGCGGTGACCAGTCAGCGGACCGGATATATAAAGCGGTCGACCCCGGCTCAGGTCACCGTTCCGTCATTTCCATTCTCGGGACAGTCAAATCCTTCTCTTCCACGCCTAAAATTCCTGTTCCGGGCTGGACGGGCAACTTTATCCCATGCGGGCAGCTCCCATCGGAGCACACCTGTAGCCGGGTGCAGTGAGTACTTGGGGGCCGGAAAGCCTATCCATTTGGACGGGCTCGGCTCCGGTAACTAACTAGGGTGCCCGCCCAGACCAATGTCTCCCCCTAATTCCTTCCATCCTCCCGGCTCTGCAATGGTTAAAATTGACCGAAGAGCCTAACCCAGCAAAGCAAACAAACAAAGGCTCAGGTCAGACGGTGTGCTCCAGGCTCTGTGGTGAGTGATCCCAACGCTCGCAACCTGGGGGTGGCACCGATTCGGGCGAGTGATCCGGACACTCGTTCTGGGCCCTTGGGCTGAACAGGGTAAGTGGTCGGTCGGGACGCTCGCCAGTGTCAGCAATCGGGGTCAAGCTGATTAGTGGATAACTTGTTTGCATTGGCTGGTTCAAACCGTTTGCGTTCATTTGTGAATATAAGTTGTTTCGGAGATATTTATTCGTTCTCAACTGGAGGGCAATCGTAACAATAATGTAAGTGATCAGCAAATGAATCACAACTACCTTTCACTTTGATGGGGCATAAGTACAACACAGCCGTCATACAGTAAATAAGTTACAGCATGACCGCAAGCTCTATCATTGGTCCAGTCCATCACATTCAAAATGTTCGATTTTTCCAATAGGCATGAAATGTAAGCTATTATAGGGCCTTCGTAACCTATGGAGCGGATTTTTGTTCACGCAGGAAACTGTGGGCTTGCTGAAGGACGTCTTGCATCGCTGGATAGCTTGCTAGCCTGCACGCATCTTCTATTGGTGCCCACCTCCAGTCAGTGTGTTCATGGGACAGGATCACAGCCGCATCTTTATCAATTAGCTCCGCCAAATAGTACGCTGATACTTTGTTGTTGCCCCATGCAATGTACGATATTTCTTTCACAAACCCATCAACAACTTTCAGCTGCGATGGTGTGAACCCGGCTTCTTCTTGCGTCTCCCGCAGAGCAGTCTTCAGGTCATCCTCCCCCGGATCCACGTGTCCTTTGGGAGGTGTCCAGTGACGAGCCCCATTGGAGGCTTGGAGCAACAGATATTCTACTTGGTCTTTGATTTTACGAAATATGACAAAGCCACTAGCACGTCTTGGCATCTTGGATATCTGAAACCCAACAAAACTTTATGAATAATCATCCTTCAGATGGATAACCAGTGAGCCATGTTTATCAAAAGCATGGGCATTCCTCAATTTGTTGTGGGTTGTAATAGTAGCTTCATGGTAAATGGTGGATTGTATTGGAAGCATTTAGAAGGCTCTTGCAAGAGCTAGGTAGGCTCATAGTAACAGGCTGGATATGCTCCACCACCATTCCTTGATCTGTAACTGCAGTTGAGCAGAGCAGGGATGAAAGTCATGTGCTGGGCATTGCTGATGAGATTCTGTAGGTATTTGGCTTGTAGCCACTTTTCTGTTTCAACACCTCATTTTGTGTAGGTACTAGCAAACAGCATTAGCATCAGCAAGATTCAAATTAAAAGATAGAATCCATATGTCCATTGATTCAACAGATCCCAAATAGTGATGTACATTACTGGTGTGAATCTGCTGTTTCTTCCTCTGTCCTGATGAACATGAAGTTATGCAGCTAAATATCAATACAATAATTCAAGTTCATCAATTCCTTGACTATTTGGATTTCCTTAGGCTACAGGCTGACTGAAAGACTGAAAGGGAATCCGGAATAGTTATCATCTGAGTGCACTGTGAGTGTGCAACTACTCCAAATGGATCTTTTTAAGAGGAAAGTCCACTTCTTCATCACATACTTTATTCAAATGTGCATCAATACACTATAGGATCTGATAAATTTACCCATTGAGCCCACACTGTTTGCCTATATTGGTTTGCAGACGCTCCATGTGACATAATTTGCAGGAAATGCCAACAGGATGTGTACAAAAAAGCAGAGTTCTAACAAAACTGAAAAGTCCAATGCTGCAGAATTGTGACAAAAGGCTGTTGATTAGTAAGTTGCATGCTAGAATGATGATGAATGAGAAAGGATACCTAACACATCATTACTCTCACATCACTAAATGTGCATGGTACATTACTTTCTAAGTTTCTACTTTCCTAGTCAGGTATTTTACATTGCATATTATATGTTGCTACATCTTGCAATACAGATGCAGGCTGCGCACTGGTTCTCTGGCCTCTGAGTATTGCACCTCTCCTTGGTTGCGAAAATAAAGAAGTGTGACGCCTGGTTTATGACTAGGTACCTGTATTATTCAATATTCAATTGTGTAGTCAAAAGTTGTCATTTGTTTCAGCCTTTTTGTCACTGTTCCCCCACAATACAGCATGGAGGATAATATTCAGACTGCAAAATTGCTCTTCTGATAGGTAAAATCTTGGGTAAAATCTTAATTTTCACCATGCTTCGTTTTAAGTATGATCTTTACACGTGGAAAAGCATGCGCACCAAATGAAACACGACCGCCATTAATGCCTCCGACAATACAAATCTCACCCACCTTCCTACAGTAGCTTTGCACGTCAAATATTGCGGATGAAACGCTGTCTTGTGATTGATTACGAAATTGATGCGCCTCGCCGTAGCCCGAAATAGCATTATACTTGGATTATTTACCTGCCTCCAAAGACCACGAGCTAAACCACAAGTAATTAACAAGGTTTACCTATTTGTGAGCTCAAAAACTTTTTTCATTTAAGAAATGACGTCATGTTTAAAATGAACCCAAGGCCATAGAGATTGACCTGAACGATATTGATTTTTTTTAACAAATCATGCTAATTTATCTAAATTAATTTGAAAATAGCTTAAACATTTTTCACTTTAAAAGTTGAATGTTGAAACAATTATAATAACATGACGTAATAAAAATCATAATGTGTGATTTCAAGGTTCAATATTGATGGTCGTCAAATAAGGACCTTTTGCCGTTTCATAATATCTTCAAACTTCAAGAGGCGAGCCGCGAATATGGCCGCGATGGCCGAGTGTGAGACTGGGCACTGAGCAGGCCGGCCGGCGACCGTAGGGCGTAGGCGGCAGAGGGTGGTAGAGCGTGAGTACCGTCGTCTTGTAGTGCATTGGTGAATCCAGAAAAGCGGTATATCAGATTCCTACCTATTCTGCCTGTTCTTCTAACCCTCACACGCAAAGAGGATGTTGGATGGACATTCACCACTTTTGGCTTCTCAGTTGTTCTCACGCATAAAAACTTGTAAAAAGGGGCAGATCGTGACGAAACTCAGTTTTCTCGTTTCAATAATTTAACACCAGCTATAGGTATGTATGCAAAAAAAAAATCATGACACTGATCATAGGCGGCGGAACGGGGAGGGCACCGGGGCACCGTGCCCCCCTTTGATTTTGGTATTTCAACATTAGCCCTATGGGCGTTGCATGGAAAGAATGGGACCAAAAGTCGGCAGTGCCCCCCGCCCCCTTAATTGAAGTTGTCCCGCCGCTACTGACACTGATCCAAATGACCTTGTACGGCCTGCGACCATGCACTGTCTCGAAACCAGGGCTGCGGAGTCGATGGATTTTCGGCGACACTCCGACTCCGACTCCGGCTTTCAAAAACCAGCTCCGACTCCGACTCCGACTCCGGGCAGAATTGTCGACTCCGACCGACTCCAACTCCCGACTCCGACTCCGCAGGCCTAGCAGGGCTGCGGAGTCGACAGATTTTCGGTGACTCCGACTCCGACTCCGGCTAGGGTTTCTAAAATCGACTCCGACTCCGACTCCGGTCACAACTGTCGACTCCGACCGACTCCGACTCCGCAGCCCTGCTCGAAACCATGCCAGACCAGTAGAGCTGGGCAAGTGCGTTCCTTTAGTGCGTTCCTGCGTTCTTCCGTACGTACGCACTACGCACCGCCCTTTTTAGGAACGCAAGAACGCAGGAACGCAAAGTTTTTCAAAGGAACGCAAGTAAGAGGAACGCACCACCCGAAATTTTGAAGCGTTCCTGCGTTTTTGCGGAACCACTCGAAAAATTATATTGCTGCCAATGACCTCTGTGTCAAATGTTTGAATCTCGAATACGTGTGTTTGCCGTCAGGGGCGGCGCCACGGGTTTTCGATAGGGGGGGACGGGGACCGAAAATCCCAAAAGTAGATACTGATCGTGTATGCAAAAAAAAACGAGGCACGTAACGCCGCGAAACTTGGCAAGGCCCAAAACACATCGAATGGTGCATCCCGTTTCCAAACTTATCCTAGGACACCTAAGATCGATCACCTTTTCAAGCATCCTTGCCTCTAAATCAAAATTTGCAGTCTTGCCAACTCAAAGCTGGTTTCCTACAAGCTGCGAATTGCTTAGGTATGAGTAGCAGTGCCAGCTATTCTTACGTTTCGTACTTTCAAATTTTCGATCTTACGTCTGGTCAGCTTCAGGGCTTCACCATCATATAGTCATGGAGGAAAAGTGGGAATATCTTCTGCTCTGACAAGTGCGCCAAAACTGCAATATAATTTCAGAATCATGACATCACCACCTGATCCATATGCAACGGGCAGGGTGCAGCTAATGGCTAGCCGTCAGTGGTCATGTCATCGGTGGTCACTCAAAAGGCCATGCTAGGTCATGGAAGGTCACCAGCCGTTATTTGATCACACTTTCTGATGGATTTTACTTACCAAGAGCTTCGCGGGAAAAACGAGCGCATGCACCGTTGAAAAAAATTGAGTGAAAGGGTCTCAGGTTCGGCGACCTCTGCAGGTGAAATGCCCCAGGGTAGGATTCCGGTGCTTGTTGATTAACTTCGTCAAAAATGGCAGTAGAGCTGTGATGTCGGCACCATTGTGTTCGTCATGATCGAGCTGGCACGACCTGCATCGTTCTCATATTCACCCTCCAATCGTAACAACTACAGCAGGGACTGGCAAATGGCGGGGCACTTTAGGAGGTAATGAAGGTCTCTGGAAACCTCATCCCACATCTCTTTAGCATTAGTGGCTCTCCTTATGGAACAGGTTTCTTGACTGGTCTGTTTCACCCCAGAATTCAAAGACTAGTCAAGGTAAAACCGAGCGCACCACAGTGAGCACAATTTGATAAGCTGGTGTATCTCAATTTTCATGTAGAACCTTTCACGTATCACGGACCTAAAACCCTTTCGTGCACTCATGCAAAAGCAACTGCCATGTTTCAACAGCTGGTAATGGCATTTTCACAGCCGCTGACGTAAGAAGGGGAGGGATGGGGGGGGGGGGCTCGATTAGACCCCCAGCCGTTCGGCCGCCGACCGAACTTAGTTTTGCAAAAAAAAAAACGAGTGCTATCGAACCCCTTGACGAGAGGGAGCCGATGCTATATCCATTATCCAATTATAAGGTCTTGGGCTACTGTGTGCTTTTTTGGTCCTGCCTGTGATCTATCCGAACACTTCTCCCCACAAGTGCTGGGGTTAAATGGCATAGATTTCAAATGGTCCCTGTGGTAGAACTGCCATGCTTGAATTTGACTAATTAGGAATGGAAAATTTTCATATAGTAACGGAAATCTATGGAGTTTCAGTGAACTTGGTTTTATCGGCAATGGGGTCTGGCAGTGGGGTGGGGAGGTAATAAGTAATAACCCTGCCTGCCGCCCCAAAAAGGGGGCACGATCCCCGAGGCCCTGCCGATCACCTTATAACTACAGGCATCACAGCTCCACACCTTTTGCAGATGGCCAGGACCCCCTGCGATGCATCCCAACAGCAATCTTTATTCAGAACCTGCCTTGATTAACCAACGATGCATTAAATGCGACGGATAGCTCTATAATGCATTATTATCAACTATTGAACGGGCCTCGCCGATAGGGGGGTACTGTACCCCCTAACTTTCGATAGCGGGGGACCTGTCCCCCCCGTCCCCCCCGGTGGCGCCGCCCATGTTTGCCGTTCGTTCGTTCGTTAGTTCGTTCGTTTATTTAGGGCTTGTCCACAAGTGGCTATTACGGCCCAGTCAATACATGATACACACACCCACACACACACATATACATGCATACAATATACATACAATAAGGCAACACCCGCAAAAGCATGCATAAAATATCTAAAATCAGTCATGTCACTTGTCAGTCACTATCTAAAGTGCTGCACCAGCTGTCTCCTGCCGGTAGAGGCGCCACTTGTCGGTCGAATCGAGGAAGGCTTGCTTAGATTTAGTGGTGATGTTTACTATTCGATTCGGTTTCCGTTTTAGGCATTAAATGTGTAAATATTTTTAGTGGTGATGTTTACTATTCGATTCAGTTTCAGGCATTAAATGTGTAAAGTAAATATGATAACTTTTACTAAGATAGGGGAAGTTGGGGCAATGCCGGGGTTGGGGCAAAGCCGAAATTCGAGATATTTCGAAAACCGTAAGACATGGATGCCACCTGTCAGTGATGCTCTGAAGCTTAAGTGACTACAATTATCGCATGTTTGTTACGAGTCGTCATTCGGAATGCTTCGACTGTGAGGGCGCCAAGAGCGTTTTCAAGGTACGTTTCCCTTGTACTACATGCGCCTTTGAAGCTGCATTTCTTACTCATTATGCTACCGTTTGTCTGGCCAATTCGGTCAAGTAATCTTTAGCATGTCTTTGCATAAGTGTGCTGCCTATTTGAAATTTATACAGCACGTTGAAAAGTTATGGGCCTGCAAATGAAAGTATGGCTGGCTGGGGTAATGCCGAAAACGTGCGATTACGCACGCGTTAAAAGCACGCTACGTGGACTTTACTGCTGTAGAATACCAACGCGTATTTTTAGTCACACAAACTACACTTTCAACCGACACAACGGCCTGTTACCTAAAAGGAATGATTTACCTGGCATTTTCTTATTATATCACACAATTATAACTTCCAGTGTGCACCGCGTCCTCAAGCTCTTAAAACGCGTGTCAGCTTTGATGAATTCTGGATAAAGTTTGAGATAAAATGGTAAAACATCAATGTCGGCATTCCCCGTAGATCATTTCTCCCATTTTCGGCTTTCCCCGCAGTCCGGGGCAACGCCGAAAAAGTCACTTCTTTGATATTTTTAGTTTGTGCGCTTAACGGTATGCGAATTCATCAAATGCGCCTGGTATGTTTGAAAGGCAAAAGACTGGCCTCTCGAATGACGCCAACAAGAATAGCTTATGTTGTCTACCTTGCGTGCTACGGGCGTCAGAAAAAAAGTCTTCGGCGTTCCCCCAACTTCCCCTACATCTTTTAACTTAACTATTGTTTTTAAGCAGGTCGTATTTTTGTTGAAAACCCTACGGATGATATTGGTAAAACGTATTTCAGATATTCGATTCGGAAAAGATATGTCGAGTTGCTTTTCTGCCCCACGTCGCCATTCTGGGTATTCTGTGATCGATTCGCCCCGTGTTTGGTTGGGCCCGCGCCGCGTGGTTCGGCGGTATTTTTGAGGGAGGAACGCAGGAACGCAGGAACGCATAACGCACCGAGCGAAAAAAATTGAGGAACGCTATTCCAGGAACGCACTAACCGCGGCCGGAGGAACGCAGGAACGCTAACGCACTACCGAAAATCGAGGAACGCGCCCAGCTCTGCAGACCAGAATGGCGATTTGACGCACATCGGCGCATATTATCCGTGCATTCCCAGACTTTCTGTCATAAAAAAATGCGAACGTGTGAAATATCATTTGTCACATTCATGTCGGTGATTGTCAAGCAAAACCCCCAAATGCCCGTCGTGGATCATAGCCAGGTGTAGCAATACCTAAACGACCAATGGATATTCGGCCAAGCTGGCTGGGCTCACCCGGTCACCGGTGTCTGCTCGTTTTCCAATACTGATGCATTCAAAACTTTGAAGAATGTTTACTTTTAAGAAGTATATTTTTGACAGGCGGTGAATATCGTTAAATGACGAGTTTCCCTTCCCAGTGCTGATGGATACAAAACATCCATTGCAGAGTGTAAAAGATCAAAGATATAGGTATGCATGGAATGTTTCAAAGACAAGCTACATAGACCATAGGTATAGATACTCAGGCAAGTGTTACTCATTCCGGTTCAATTCAAAACAAAGTCACACAATCTGAGCGCAGTCGGATACAAACTGGAGAAAATTGCATCCAGGGCTAATTTGACCCCAAATATACGGTAATAGGTACATAACATTCCTACGGACTCCGCACTTTCACTCTAAAAACGTGTCATTTTTTCATCATGAAGGTGCAACACTTGTGACGACAGTCGACAACATCGCGGGTGGCAATCAAGTGATGGTTGGTGACACACCTTCGGGAGATTTGGACCGCAGTCAGGGTTCAGGACGCAACGAAATACACATTTGAGGAGTTGCAAGACTGCAGAACGTCCGTACCTACCTACATGATCATCCGACTGTTTCAGCAGGAGCTGAGACGTTTTCACCCTGTACTGACGGAGCTGCGCGTCCATCTGCAAGGTCTGTCTCCATCCTGAGTAACCCGACCAACCCCTTTCAAAAACATTTATCTGCACCCTGCCTTTTAATTGCGTGAAAAGGTATCTCTTGGTTAACGGTTTTCAACTTCTTTTCATTTGAATCCACCCAAACTCCCCACCAACATTACTTGGATGCAGCCACAAACTGATATGATCTGCAGTATAGCCACTCGAGTCTCGGTCGTCAGAGTACACCAGCCTTCTATAACTGATACTTGTCGCCTCGGGACAGCTTCGTTCAGGATATCCTGCCGAGCGGCGAGCCCGTGTAGCCGCCCTCGGAGCTGTGCTTGCCGTCCGAGCTGTGCCGGTCGCTGTTGATGTCGCTGGACGTGCTGGACGAGAGGGTGGTGCTGCTGCCGTACGGGTCCAGTGAGCTCTGCACGGGCAGGCGCCGCGCCCGTTTGGGCGAGAGCCGCGAACTGCACGGCTCGACGCTGCTCGGGTCGGCCTGGTAGGCCAACGCGTTCATGATGATGTGGTCGGGCACGATGCCCAGCGGGCGGATGTCCTTCATCAGGATCGTGGCCGGCACCTTGTGGAACTGGATGTACTCGAGGAAGGTGGAGATGACCTCACCCAGGTCCAGGTTCGAGTTGTCGCAATACTTCTTGGACCACATCAGAGCCGCCTGGAAAATAAAGCTTTTATAAAGAATTGTCTAATAAATGATATAGTTATCTAGATCGCATTTTAAAGTTTTTTTTTCTGGTAAAAATGTCTATAAAATGCAAAAGTGTCTTTATAACTGTCACTGATAAAGCTATATGCTTTAATGCTGACCTTTTACGAGAAAATAACCCTGAAAATCAGGGGCCTCAGTGTTGCTGTTGTTGAATTGTTGTTGTTGTTGTTGTTGTTGTTGTTGTTGTTGTTGTTGTTGTTGTTGTTGTTGTTGTTGTTGTTGTTGTTGTTGAATGTTACGTTATTTACGCTCACTAAACTATTCTAGAAGCGTTTAGGGTAACTATGGGGAAAACGCACCCCTGGGTTAAACGCCTCCCCTAAAAAAAATCGTATTTCTTATCGACGGATAGGTGTTTTATCCTGTCTTTCAGAACAGTCAGCTGCTTGTTTACGTAGGTCTCTATTTCCGGTTCAGAGTCTTGAGGAGCAGCGTGGGTAGGTGCTGATGTTGGTTTTGGGTGTTGTTTTTGTTGTTTTTACAGAAGATTCCTAATATTTTGATGCCCTCTTTATATCACAAAACTTGCTATTGTGCACATCACTCAAAACTGCGTTTTATTGTCATTCTGTTGAATATATTATGCTGCGGCGTTAGTGGCGCGTTTTTTGTCAATATTTTGTTGACCGGAAATGGAGTGGATGGGGCAAGACGCCTACTCGATGCATGGGGCAAGACGCCCCCAGTTTTGTGAAAGGGGGGCGTTTTGCACGGTGGTGAGAGTGCAGGGTAGCGCCCTGTAGGTCGGGGCCGAAAAGGCCTCTCCCTGTCCTTTTTTGCTGATATATCCTAAACGACTGCAGATATCGTCACCAAACTTTCAGGACTCCTCTGGGCATCCATTTTACACATTGCAACAAAATTTTATTCCAAAGGCTATGATAGGTTGACCACAAATGACGTCAGAATGACGTCAAGTTCTGCCATGTTCATCATTTTCTATTGATAGATGGGGTGGGGGCGCTTTGCACATGGGTGTGGGCGTATTACCCAGGGTATGGGGCAAAACGCCCTTTTGCAAGGGTATGCGAAAACCTTTTTGGGGGGTTAAATACCTCACGCAGGTGTCTTTTCTTGGTCTCAAAACGTAGTAAAAAGAATGAGCTACATGATGGTGCCCAAATGTTTAAGTAATCTGTGTTGGGTTGAGTGTCAGAAAGTTTCGCGCTTAAGGGGGGCGTTTTTGACCTATTCACCCTATTTTATTCTAAAACGTTCTAAATCTCGGCCGGCCTATATCGTATCGCATCTCACCTGGAACTTGGTGAGCTCGTCTGCGTTCAGCTCTCGCACGAGGATCAGCCTGACCACGTGCTGAGGCAGCAGTGTGAACGAGCCCAAACTGAGCACCTCGTTACCGTGCATGTCGACAAACTCGAGCACCTGCAGCGGGCAGGACAAAACGAGTGAGGGGCTCGGGACAGCTCCAGCCCTTTTTTACTACACATTCATCTTCCTGGCTAGGAAAAATGATTTATGCTGGATGTAGGTATGTATAGTACGGTAATAAGCAGTAACGGCGGAACAACTTCAATTACGGGGGGGGGGGGGGTACTGCCGACTTTTGGTCCCATTCTTTCCATGCAACGCCCATAGGGGCAGGGCTAATGGGATGGGAAAATCCCATTAGCCTGGGAAAATCAAGGACACAGTGCCCCGGTGCCCCCCCCCCCCCCCGTTCCGCCGCCTATGGTAATAAGAGTGCGGAAAAGGCGGTAGATAAATGACAAGCATGGTTTAAAACACTAACAAATAAAAATACCTCACAGAATGAACGCTTGCAATATATCAACATGCTTACAAATTATGTATCTGACGGACATAATTCTTATATGGTTAAGTTTAACTGCCAAACATCATTTATTCGGCTCGTACTAGCCGTCTTTATGGACCGCCCCCCCCCCCCCCGATCTCACCTTCTGAACCATGGACTTGGTGCATTTGTACTGTATGTATCGCTCTGCGGAGGCCAGCAGGGCGCACACGGTGTCCACGTTGATGCAACACTGGACGAAGCCGGCGCAGGCACGACGCAGCTCGTCCAGTCCGTAATAGTCGGCGGCGTTCATTAGACCTAGCAGAGAGAGATAGAGAGAGAGAGAGACAGAGAGAGAGAGAGAGAGAGATAGAGAGAGAGAGAGAGAGAGAGAGAGAGAGAGAGAGAGAGAGAGAGAGAGTGAGAGAGAGAGAGAGGGAAGAGAGAGTGAGAGAGAGTGAGAGAGAGTGAGAGAGAGAGAGAGAGAGAGAGAGAGAGAGAGAGAGAGAGAGAGAGAGAGAGAGAGAGAGAGAGAGAGAGAGAGAGAGAGAGAGAGAGAGAGAGAGAGAGAGAGAGAGAGAGAGAGAGAGAGAGATGGTTGTGCGTCAGATTTGCAGAGGACAGGATGAACTACATATAGTATAGTGTTTGCAGCCTGGGCAGAGTGTCTACACTCACCAGGCAGAGTGTCTCGACTCTCGACACTCACCAGGCAGAGTGCCTTGTCACTCATCGAGTAGAGTGCGCGGCTGCAGGGTCACTCGCCGTCCGCAGAGTCGTGACACCCTCTGAGCAGTGAGCAGAGTGTCGTATGACTCACCAAGTAGAGTGTCGTGACACTCACCAATAGAGTGCTGTGTCTCTGTCACACTCACCGAGTAGAGTGTCGTGACACTCACCAGGCAGAGTGCCGTGTCACTCACCAAGCAGAGTGTCGTGACACTCACCAATAGAGTGCTGTGTCTCTGTCACACTCACCAAGCAGAGTGTCGTGGCACTCACCGATAGAGTGCTGTGTCTCTGTCACACTCACCGAGCAGAGTGTCGTGGCACTCACCAATAGAGTGCTGTGTCTCTGTCAGACTCACCGAGCAGAGTGCCTCGACTCGACACTCACCAGGCAGAGTGCCGTCACACTCACCGAGCAGAGTGCGCGGCTGCAGCGTCACGCAGCCCGTGTGAACGTACTCGATGAGCTGACGGAACACGTCTGGCTCAAACTCCTCAATGATGAGCGTCTGATGCTGACTCTGGTTCGGCTGCAAACAATAGACAGGGGCGCTATATGTACATATATACACATATAGCTGCTGGGTGGGCATTTGAGGAGTTCGGCTTCTTTGGTATCCCTGTCGCTTCACGGGCATAGATATGTAGTAAACCGATAAATATTAATTGCATGTGTTACACATTTGAACCTCTTGGTTTGAAATAAAGCACCATTCTTCTTCTAATATTTCGGAAGCTCTTCATAGCTGGTCATGTTTGCATACATGCAAGCCTTTTTCAAGGTGCCAGGATTTTGATAAACGATTGCTTTACATAAAAGAAAAATGCATTTGTAAATAATCTTTTTTAATACTACAGATACCTAGTCGTAGTAAAGACGTATGAGTACGTGACGCTTAGACAAGCCATTGAGGAAACATTTTTACCCATTTCCCCGTAACCAAATTCATGCAGTAACACCATTCATGCAGTTGACTGGCATCACGCATGCGATTTGTCTTCTCAGTGTCGAGGGGCAGGGATTGACGTAACCAGCATCCGGGAATTCGCCCAAGCAATTACTGTCTTACAAGCATAATGTTACCGGTAACTCGACAGATGTTAATTAACTCAACTGAGTTCGCGTTTCTTTCTAGGCTGGCGAGAGGCCCGATGACCCTGCCTGGGGTCATGGCTAGTCATTAAGAAAGCCAGACGGTTTTTAAGATCCTTTTATCTAAATATCTGCTGATATTGTGACTGGGGCGCGTGACATACTCGGTCGGGAGGGGGATCGGTGTCATATGTCGTAATAACTAAGGTGTTTGAGTAGGGGTGGGGCGGGATGCAGCAGGGTGAAGGCAAAGAGCAACGTTTTACCTCGGGGATAGTAGCCAGCTGTTGTGAGAAGCCATGACGCTGCAAAAAGTCAGAACATTTGATAACACCTGTAGTTTTACGGCCCATCGATACCTCCCCGCGACAACAGCAAAATAACATCGAATATGGACAAACAACCCCATGGACAAACGGCCAATGAAACTTAAACACACAAATATGAACCATGCCGACAAAAGTGACAGAGCGAGAAGAATGGAGCTTATGAAAGAATTCAGTCTGATTGATGATTTAGCGAATAATATAAAAAATGTGGTACAATTTTACGGGCACTAGTAAACGTTTACTCTTTATTTTATGTGATTTAAAACTTCATGAACGAGTTGCTTGAAATAACGTAGCTTGTTACATAAGCAGACTAAGAACACTTGAATACACATAAAAGCTGACACATATCCATTGACTGAGACTAGCGGACGTCGGACGTGTAGCTAAAACACAATTAATAACCATAATCGTAACCACAAATAGCTAGATCGTCTTGATATAGGTATAACAAATAGAGAATAGCTTGGCTTCAGTAAAAGTGCATATAAATCGTAATCAAAATTCGTTGAATTATGTAAATGTTTGTGGCCGTTTTCCAAATTAAGTAAGAATGAAATAACCAATTTTCTTTTTTGCTGGATTATGAAAAACGAAACACGATTCTAGCACGAAAGAGGACATTCACATTTCATAAGAATTATTAAAGCAGCTCTCATTAACTGCTTAGTAAATCTGTGTCGCCTCAATCGTCATTTACTCAAGATAAGCTATTCTCTTGAAAGGAGAATATAAAGTTCAAAGAAGACGTGTTATGTGTGTAGGCATACATGATACAACATACAAATACCAGTCAGTATTGCCTTATGCTGAATTGAAGAACAGTCATAACAAAATTATGGACAAAAATACCTACTCATAGCGCAACTATCCGTGGTGGTCGTACCTTTTCTGTCGGATTTTGAATGTTGAGGAGTGGCTCGCTGCTTCTTTTCAGAAATAACCTGAGCTTATTCTCCTTCTGAGGCTGATCTTTCTTCCTCTGAGGTGATGACGACGAGTAAAACATCTTGTGAAATACTCTGAAACATAAGAGAAAATGCATAGCACTCTTCACCTTTCATGTTATCGTAAATTAAAAAAAAAACGCTTAATTTCGATCATATATTTGGCTGAATGAGCTACCTGCGACATTACTGAGATTTTAGTCTTGGGACGCCTTTATAGCGAAATTCAAAATCAGCCACAGTCCTTTAGCCAAAAAGGCATTGACGTACTGGAGGGTGTCAGGACTGCACGGACAGCATGGAGGAGCCAGAAATGACCTGGACCCTGCCCCTCCTGCATGCCAAATACCGACCTGCTGCGGGAGGCCAGGACGGCGCGGACGGCGCAGACGGGCTCCCGAGTGTCGCCGACCAGAAACGTCACATCACACAGCTCCGGCATACTCGCCAGAAACTTGAGGTCCTCAGCCAGCCCCGTCTTGTTCTCGAATATGTTGTAGTCGGGCTCTTCAGCCAAGGCCTCAGCCATGGTGGGGCGAGCGTCGATCATTGACCGACTGTCGACCCCAGGACGGGTCGGGTCAGGTCAGGAATGCTATGGTCCACAGTTATTATTGTCACGGTACACCACAACAATGTTCAGAACAAAGGATTGGCTGGACAATGGTCTTGCACACTGTATAATGTATGCTCTGTGCATATACCTAAATGTATGTCACAAATTCACTGTAGGAATGGTATACTTTTCCCGAATGAACTCAAACTCTTGTACTTGCATACAGTCAATGGGTCTCAGATAACCGTTGTTACTTTGCTGAGGGAGAGAGAGAGAGAGAGAGAGAGAGAGAGAGAGAGAGAGAGAGAGAGAGAGAGAGAGAGAGAGAGAGAGAGAGAGAGAGAGAGAGGGAGAGAGAGAAACAGTCACGAGACAACCACTCACTCTCACTCTTACGCACAGCCAACCCTTCGGCACCCATTCGCACTTACCTCGATCACAGCTATCTATCACAGCGAGGCAGACACCGCTGCTCACGTTGTCCAGCCTCGTCACGCTCTTCAGCTCCGCTAGCACAGGCAGCACCTGGACGAGCTGGCAGCGTCAGCAGCCCCCGGTGCAGCTCCCACGATCGTCCACTTGTTGCTGGTATCGTCAGTCCGCCGCGCGCACCGCTTCTCCTCCGCCCCGACGCCTCACACGGAACCCGGTGTCGACGTCTCCCCGCGTTCAGCCTCCTTATCGATCTGCCTCTGTGTCACCAGGCGACTGCAACTGACCAACACCTGACGAGCCGATCATCCCGGGAACTGAACGACAGCCGGGACGCCGCTCAGGTCCCCACTCGGCCGCGTCGCCGCCGTCGGGCTCGCCGTCGGCGCCGACGACTTCCGACGAACCGACCGGACCGGGTGCCGATCAATGTGCGCGACCGGGCTGCTCCTGCCGGCCGCCCGCGCCCCCGCCCGCCCCCGACTCCCCGAGCCACCTCCGCCTCCGCCACCGCCGCCGCCCGCCAGCGCACCTGAGCGGCCGGTGGAGCAATCTTGCCCGCCGGCACAGCAAAGAGTGATACGCACGCTGGATGCCAAGAGGCGCACTCCATTAGCAATATTAGCTAGCTGCTGCATACCGCGTATCTCTGATCACTGCTTCCGCGGGACGCCTATCGATTCGTGTGCGTCGCTGATACGGACTATGTGCTTCGTATTTGCTGAATCAGGCGCTGATATTTTCAGTCTTTAGAATTTAGGTTCATGTAACCTTATAAGCGGTCTTACAATTAATGATTTATATGAATGCGCTATATTTGCTTTTTTTATATGAATGCGCTATATTTGCTTTTTTTATATTTGCCTTTGTTTATATTTGTACTTATGAGGTGCATAGTGCATTCACGTTGTTTATCTTTCGTTGGTCGGGTGATCGCTAATTATCGATAAGCTATATAGTTAGGAACGACAATCACGGAGGGAACTCTTATTATTATTACATTATTATTATCACATAGACGTATTACATGACGTAGGTATTGTTCGCGGAGGGAACTCTCGCGAGTAGGTACTAAGTCAACTGCTATTACATCCTTGCTTACTCGGCCACTGGTCGATACTCGATAGTGAGACTGTAATTAGCAGTGCAAGATCATTATGACTTATACCTATGTGCAGATGGATTGATGCATGGCTGTCCGGCATTGCGAACGGCAGCCAAGTAAGAGGAGGTAGGAAATCTATTATTTGCACAAAGCGATAGCATTGATTAAACTTAGCTTTATAAAAAGGCTAGCATTTTTGTAAGTAGGAACCCATGGTTTTTATTTGGACACGCGTGAATTTTATTAAATGTGTGCCTACTGCCTGCCTACCTATAAATAAAACAAATTTGAAATGCAAGTCATGCTTTGGGGTGCGTAGGTATGCACGTGAAATTTAGCCATTTTTGGTGCGCGTGTGTTGTCGGCTAGGAAACGCTTCAAAATATTCGCGTGCATTGCGTACGCAATTGTGTGCGCTTTAAAAAACGTGTGCATGTGTTACGTACATACGCAATAGGTACGGTGGACCGAACGAACCACAAAAGAACCCAGCAGTGTGTGTATGTGTGTGCGATCTTTGAGCTCTTTCAACGTCACATACGTTCTCAAACATTTCTTTTATTGATTTTTTCAACCAGCCAACTGCCACAAAAGTGACGCACACGGGCTCATACCAACGGTTCACAGAACATAGTCACGCGCACGGTAACAATGCAAGCGGATGCACGGCGAAGAACCATCAAACGTATGCAACTTATATGGGTTCTTTTACACATGTCGCGCACACATGTCGACAGCTTACATGCAAAGGTAAATGTTGGTTGCTGGAGGACGCAACTGCACTTACGCTGTAAGACATGACCATAAAACGTCAAATATTTACAAAAGAATGACGACTTCATAGCAGGAACGTTTCAAGAGCGCCCCATTCTTACAGCGCACAGCAAAAAACATGCACGTAACTCATACTTAAACTACAAAGCAAGCGACTAAAAACTAGCATTTTTATCGTTGTTTTGTACTTGATCAATATTTCTATGTCGTTGTACTTGATCACAACAGCTCACATGATATCACAGTGATAGGGCACGGAGTTCCGCCGTCTCTCCTCACCACGGTCTCCACATGTCATCGGCCTGTTTCCGGTCCACGCCGAGGTCACTGACTTCTGACTCCTCGCTGCTCTCACTGTACGGCACCCGCTGCCGCTTGACCGGTCTCTCTCCCTCGCTCTCAGCCTCGGCCTCGAACGCTCGCTTCTTCAGATCGAGCGGGATCGGAATCGGACGGACCAACTGAGCGCCCGCCGCTGACGGTCGCACGCGCTCAAACGCCGACGGCGTCAAAGCTCCAGTTCCGCGGCCGCCAAGAGATGGCGCTGGCGGCGCGAAGCTCCTCTGAGGCGTGCTGGTGGCCGTGGCCGGTGGACGGGTGGCCTGAGGAGGTCCTAGTTCTCCATTCAGCAGACGATTGGCCATCAAGGTCTGCAGGCCGGCCAGAAGACGCGCATGCGCTCCGTTGTTGTTGAGGTCACCGCTAGGCGGCGCTGGCGGTGGCAGTACCGGAACACTCATGACGCTCGGGGAAGCCATGGCGGAGAAGGACAAAGGCGTCATCTGCTGAAGATTCGAGACGCAGCGCTCCACGTGCGCTAGAAGACGCTTCCTGACGCCGTTGTCGACGCCTTCGATACGGCCCACATACCTGCCGGTGATAGAGGTCAGGGTCAAGGACGATTGATCCGGACGTCACGCTCAAGAGCGACAGTTTTATCAAGTCAACGGTAGTAGCTGTTTGTCACGTGTGCAAGCCATAAACTGAGATTAATTGGAATAGTTTAATGTCATGCTGGTTTGGCAGAGCACCTACGTTTTATCCAAGCACGTTTCAGTTTTACCTATTTGTATTGCATGCAAGTCCGGCCCACAGGTGACAGTCATTTTTCACGGCTCTGCACTGACCTGGCCACCTCCTGCCCGCACTCTGTGAAGCCGTTCTTGACCTTGGTGAGGACGGACGGGTCGAAGGCGACGGCCATGGCCAGCTGCTGGCGCTGCACGTTCTGCAGGTGGCGCACCGTCATCTCCAGAATGTCCGCCTTCTCCAGCTTACTGTGACGCGCCGGCTGCAATAGACAGAGAGAGATCGTGGTCAGATGAGCGAGCAGATTTGCATTTAGCAACTTATTATTTTTTAATGAAAGTATATTATTTTTATGTTGGATTACGAGCTTTTCTTTCGGGGAGGGTTCCAGGAAAACAGTCATGCATAGTGTTCCATTTTACCTCGATCATACGCATTTTGTGGTACATTCACTAAACTATTTACTAAATATAAATTATTGTGAAAGTAAGACCTATAAAACAAACGGTGTTTGTCGATGTTATGGATTCAATTGTTATAGCAACTCTTGGATGAATTCCGATATAGGTGGTCATAGCTCACGCTGAACAATGTCGAATTCATTCGCGGAAGGGTGTGGGGAAAGCAAATCACTTATGCTGACAATTTGAAGGCACAAAAACTGGCGCTGGCGTCTTCCGTTCTCCCATCGATATAATTCAACTAGCACTTCCTTTCCGCACTAACATTTCCGACTTTCGTCCGGGATATCCGACCAGTCCGGCCCAAACGGCTCCTCTGAACGCGTCATTTCCGATCAAACCACTCATTACGGACCACCAGCATTCTATTACGGCACTGGGTCAGCCAATCAGCCCCGTCTGGCCGTGTTTAAACAGCCCGGAAGTGATAGGTCCCGGCACGAACGGCGCCGCCGTGGGTGGCTGTCCGTGACGGGAGCGTGATCGGTGGACCGCGGACGGACGGAGGACCCCCGGCGGGACGAGGCGACGCGCCGCTCAGGCGGCACTGATCGGGCCGCAGCAGCGCCGCCGAGCGTGGGGACGAGTGCCCCGGCTCGGTCGGCAGCGCTGGAGCGGAGTCGTGAGAAGAAGCGCCAGTGTGCGTCGTTCGGAGGGTCATGGATGAGAGCAGTGACGCGGCGGGTGTATTGAGAGATAACCTATTAGTATATTTGTAAATGCTAGAAATATTTCATTCATTCACGCGATGATTCAGCCATTTCGGTGTTCAGTCATCCGTTCTTTCATTCATGCACACATTCATGCATCTTGTCTATCTATCCCATCTATCCTTCATTCATCTGCCAATCATACATTCATATTGATGGCCAGGCCATTGACAAAATGATGTTTAGAAATGTTCAGGATAGAGAAAGGTTCAGTACCTAACCTACCAGTAAAACTATCAAGCAATCCATCTTATCTCCAAGCACATGCATGCACGGATGTCGCTTAAATTTTCATTGAGCTCATACTTAAGAACGTTCATTCGTTCACCCATTCATTAATTCATTTTATTGCGTGCTTTAATTGTCAGGCAATAAATTAGGCCAGCTCTAATGAACCAGGGCATACGGATATCCCCTTGAACAAGTCCACGACTTTTTGTCACCTTCCACCTTCACCTGTCCTGAGTGTCCTCCAGACACCGGTCCCACCCACATAATGATCCCTCGCGGCGCCTGGGAAGCTGCCCTAACGGCCGGCGGCTGCCCGTCGACCCAGCCCGCGCCGGTCCCACCATACAGGTGACCTGTGCGACCCGAGCGGCGACCGGCCGGTGGCTGGCACACGCCGTCCACCGCTCACCGCCCGTCCACCGCCCACCGCCGCCAGCCGCCGCCGCTCCCCGGTCACCGGAAGCGGCGGCGTGGGAGCGGCCGGCTCTCTCACGGCGGCGCGCGCCGGTCGACCTGACCCCATTACGGTCAGAGAGCGCGCCGGGTCACCGGCGTGGGAGCGCCTGTCGACCCCTCGGCGAGCCGGTGACGGGCTGGGAGCCGCCGCCGGGGTGAGAAAGCCGCGCCGACCCGGCGCGCGCCCGTGATGTTTTGTTTGGGTGCGCATTTCCTGGCTACCGTGTACCGACAAATTATTTGACTTCACGCCTATAATCGCTCTTACGACGTTCCTATATGGTAAGGAAGCTATTACAAACAGCGAAATCTAATTAAATTAAGTCCTTAAAACAATCATAATCATACGAACGCTCCCAGCAAAACGAACCAGTGTTGGCTAGAAATTCACCAACTCGCTACATAGCACTGCACGCCATTCTTTCTATCCAAACGCTTCATTACATGCTCCCTGGTCAATTTATCCTTGATATTAGCCGCCACCGCGTCCATCCCAACCAGTGGCCACATCCTGCCAGTCATATCCCCTACGCGACTCGGAAGTCAGGGCCGCAGTGGGGCAGCGTTCCGACCGGAGGGAGAGGGACCGGGGCAGTCACCCTCCCTCTGATCCCCCGCCGTCCTACAATAGACCGGAGCGGCGGCAGGTGCCTCCGGTGATGAGCAGGGGAGCGCACTGTGGGAACGCATCCGGCGGCCGCGCCGGGACAGGTGCCGAGCGGTACCGCAGGAATGTGCTCTCCCAGCGCCCACCGGACCGGAGAGCATCATTAGCTTTTGTAAACAGCGCCGCCGCATACCTATGGGGACGCCAATTTGGGAAATTGCTCCACTCTGCGCCCTTGTGTGTAACGTCATTCATTTCCTAGCTCTCCAGCGTTGACCGACACCAATTTCGGTGAATTCCTTCTCGTCTTCTGATCAGCATCTCGTCTTATCGTGCATCTGATATTCATATTTGTGGTATTGCAAAATGAACCTTTCCATGCATCATCATTTTCAGCTAACCCTATTTTATAAATGATACAGCTTCCACCTTTGATATTCAATGACGATACGCAAGAATAATTAAAACATGCCGATTACGGGACTGAAAACGGGTGCCTAGAAATACATATGTAATCATAACTGGGTACTGCTATATCTGTAGAGATAGCAGAAACGGTTCTCTCCAGCAGAAAAGATTACTGTGAACAGGTTTCCTTCAGGCTCGTATAAGACTCACGTATCTCTTATAGCGTGCATACACGGCACTCCATCTGGAAAGGTGTGCAAGTGGGGTTCGTGCTCGGATACCCATACCAAGTGAAGTGTGAACGTTCTCAATTTATCGATGCTTCGGTCGCGCCGCTTCTTTGCGAGGAAAAAAGACATATTGTGATACCTATTGCATAATACCTAATAACCAGTATAGCGCCTTTTGGGGCGACTAACGGAGCGAGCGAGGGGGCGAGTCTTGCACGTGCGAAATTTCGAGGGGGTACCTCCAACTGACTTGTGCACGGCACCCTACTGACCGGTCTCTAGCGATGTGCCAAATTTGAGCACAATCGGCCCAGCCGTTCTCGAGATCTGGGAGCGGCACCCTGCACGTGCGCACGTGCAAAATGGGTCCCAACTGACTTGTGCACGGCACCCTACTAACTGGTCCCTAACCGTGTACCAAATTTGAGCGCCATCGGTCCAGCCGTTCTCGAGATCTGGAAACGACCCCTGCACGTGCGCACGTGCAGCAGCACCCCAACTCTGGCACACGGATATGCAGTGCCTAGTGGGTGCCTACCTACATGCCAACTTTCAGCGCAATCGGCCAAGTAGTTACCGAGATATTGCAACAATTACAAAACTGACACCTCTTCGTTTTGCACGTGGCACGTGCATAAGGGGTCACCCACATGCGTCGGGAATAGTCCAATACTTGGTAGAAGGAATGAAGCTACCCTACAAAAATTACCGCGTGTAAATCGGTCAAGTGGTTGCTGAGATATAAGCCTCGCAAAAGCGTCCGCACGGCTTTTGCGGACGCTTTTGCGTCCGCAAAAGCCGTGCGGTCCCAAAAGTCTTTGCCCAAAGTGCGGTCCCAAAAGTATATTATTTACTCACTTTGCGTCCCAAAAGTCCGAGCTCGCTTCGCTCGCTCCGTAATTAAAACACTTATGGCAGTTTTCATAAGTAGTATAAGCATTCATACTGAATGCTAGGGCCAGCGACGAATTAAATGAATACGGTGGTTAAGTGCATCAGTACATAGATCAACGATGCTAAATAATGTATTATGCTAAATGTTATTATAGCTCTAGCACTATGTTAACATTATGTTAAAACGTATAATTTAGGTAAATGACAGTTATGTTAAATGTTGAAATCCATTTATCATTAAACCCGTTCTTAACAATAAGAAATGTTCCACTTATTCTGCACTTACATCTTTCTGTAGGGCGTCCAGTATGAGGGACTTCAGCTCGCCCAAACAGCCGTTGATCTTGGCTCTGCGCTTTTTCTCCATCACGGGCTTGTTGTTCTGGAATGGACACAACGTATCGTCAGATACAATGTCAGTTACCTGTCTCACATATGATTCTACACAGAACGGTATCAAGGCTACTGTCATGATACCTTTACGCATGATACCTACCTTATGAGAACTTAACGCATTATTTTCAGAGAACGGTGCTTTCCAGACAGCAATCAGCTGAGTAAGAAATCACAAATCACATGCACACTAACACTACATATGAAGCATAGTGTCTTTTTTTTCGCTCAAGTAACTTGCATCAACCTATTCAAAAGTGAACTAAATAAGATAAATTAAAATAAAATAAAATGAAATAAAACAAAATGCATAAAATAAAATGAAATAAAATAAAACAAAATACATAAAATAAAATGAAATAAAATAAAACAAAATAAAGTGAACAGAGCTGAATGACCTGTTATATAAAACAGGCATGTCGAAAACGATCAATCCAGGGTGACCAATCATCCCATTCCCCAAAATTATCGACCGTTAGATATCCCTAAGGGACCGTGTGCTTCCCGCCTTGCCGTCGATGGCAATGTCTCGGGAGACAGCAGGCGCCGGGCAGCCGTGTCAACAGTCCAACGCATCCCATATCAGGTGCTCACCTTTTTCATGTCTGCCTTGGACTCTGACGACGAATCGGCGCGATGACAGTCGAACTCCATCGGTGCTCTCTCCATGGCGAGTGAACCGAACTACCAACACTTGGTCCTCTCCCCTCACAGCTGTGACGTCAGCAGGGGGAACCCGCGGCGGCGGACGACGGACGGCGAGGGACGGGAGGAGCTCAGGGGACGGGAGCTGCTACCACACCGGAACCCGCGGCTCGACTGATGTCCGCCGACCCGCCCGAGCCGCTTTTGGTCCCGAGCCATGGCCCGCCGCTGCGCCCGGCCGAGCGGTGCGTGCATTGTGCGCCCGGATAGGCGTGGGAATTCGAAACAGATCAGAGGTGCTCGCGGAACTGACTCAGCTGAGGGTTGCCCTACTAACTCAGATGACTGCTTGCGGGTCCAGGTCATGCCTGATTACTGTTTTTGCATTTTATTGTGATCATTTTGACAAATAGTTATATTATTTACTCACTTGCCCGGCAAATTTCGAACTCCGTGCAAACATGTTTAATGGTATCACATGTGGTGTACCATACCATTCCCGGTGAAGGAAGAATCTGTCTCTTCCGATATTGTATTGCCTCTTATCTGTTGCAGTTATCGACATTAAATCAATATAGCTAATCTTATGCGCGGTGAAGTCATGGGCAACAAGTTGCTGAGAAGCTTATAGTAGGTATGTGCCTGTACGCCTTTGTGATGTCACTTCACTTAAATTAACTTAGCCCTAAATCACCCCTAAATAATATCAATCAATTGTGCTATCCTTGAGCGTAATAATGTTACAAGTTCAATCGAAAATTTTAGAGCAATATGAAGCGTAACAGTCAATTCTGGATGAAATAATTGCTGAAAAAAAAAAATGTTTTCGTTCCTGCCGTCTAGTTTAGTTTAGTTTAGTTTATTGAGTACCTACATCATCAACGGGCAGGGGCAGCCCAATTACAGTCGAAGTCGCATAGTGAAAAATACATACATGGTAGGAGACATACATAGGTACATAAATACGCAGACCAAAGACCTCTCAGACTTCAGAGACTACTTACGTATACGTAAGTGATCACACGAATCTTAGAGACATTCGTCCACACGTCTACCTCGCGGTTGCTATCCAAGAGGGTGTTGCACAGTTCCGGTATACGATAGAATGGGCTGTTCCCCACTGTGTTGACACGAGCGAAGGGTACATGGAAGAGAATCATATTCCGCAGATGACGAGTTGGCACTGCCAGTGGGAAGCGTTCGAGCAGATACGATGAGTCCACAACATGACGATGCTGAAGTGTGAAGGATGAGTAGAAGGGATAAAGTTTTCGGAACATTCTATGGAATGGGATGCCCTAAAAGAAAAAGAAAACACCTGCTTCCACCAAAATTGAATTGTTAAAGAATGAGTGTTGCTCTGCTGAGTTTTGATTTGATTGGAACGACCTTTGCACGAGCTCGACCCAACTGGTCTTGAAGAATCATCCTGAAAACAGCCTGAAATAGTCACGCTGCTGATGTCGCCCAAGAACCGTTTTGGAGAAGAGTGAGGACCGTTTAAAGTTCCATTTCTCCGTTTTATCTCTTTTTTATATGCTTACAAGACGTTCATCAGTACTTCATTTGATTTGCAGAAGCATATAACTGCAAGTTATGAATTGCATACCCAAAAGAATAAGACACCCTTGCTTATCATCTTCCCGTTTGGTCCTTCCCAAAGGGCGTCCGTTTCGCCGGCCGGCTCCTACTCCGTCCCGCCTCCTGCCGCCGCGCTGAGAGAGTTCCCACGGGGTGCCGGCGGACCGGCCGCCGCCAGGTGACGCGCGCCCCGGGTCGTGGGAGCGCGCCCCCTGGCGGAATGCCGGCACCTGTGCGCCGCGCGCCCAGCGGCGGCGCGGAATGCGCGGAATGCGGCGGCGCGTGTCCGCCGGCGGCGCGCGCGTGGCTGACGGCCGGCGGGCGCGGGCCCTCGGGCCGAGCCGACTGCCCCGGGGCGGTGGAACCTGCGGCCGACCGGCCGCCGGCACACCTGGTCACCGACCGAGTGGGGAGCGGCGGAATGCCAACGGGCAGATGTATAGGGGGGAGACCATCGGCACGCCGCGTCTGATGGAACGCGCTGTTAGGTGCCGGTGTGCTGCAGCGTGCGGGTTCACGGCGGAGCTGGACCGTGATGGAATGTGCTCCGGCTGCCTTGTGGAGCTGGCCTACATCCAATGAGACAGTTGCTAGCCTAATGGTCAAGAAAGGTTAAAAAAAAAAGAAAAAAGAAAAAGGTCGACCTATAAAGAAGAGAATCATTTTTTTGAGTTAAAGGGCGACAATTTACTAGACAATGGAGTGTTCTCTAGCGATGCTAGCGATGACACTAGAGCTAGCGTCCATTTAATTGTCAGTACCTATGCAAGCTACCACTGGATGCCATAGTGTATGCGTTATTTCAAAGTATATCTTGAGTTCGACTTTATTCCTCCAGGCTGTCCTTTATAATATGGTACTTAGTGAGCCAAGTGTATTATTTCGCACAAGAGGCTCATGCAGATCAACATATGTAACCAGAAGGTGATCTTCTGGTCCGACCTCGCGCCAACACACTAACCAAGGGGCGCATTGAGGGCCCCGGCCGATGTAAAAATTCCAGTTGGAACGAGGCTTGATAATCCTGCCTGCCAGTGCCACGCCTCAAATTTAACAAATGAGCATTAAATGTGTTTTCCCGAAGGCTATAACGCATGTCGGTGTCTTTAAATTTCATACAAAATATCAACTGGTAGCTCGTTACCGCCGTGAATTGGCCAAACTCACGGTCCACTGGTGCCATGCCATAGTTTGTGAAAACACTTCCAAGCAAATGTCCAAAAAATGGCCCATGGGGATCAGGCAAATCTGTTGACGCTCTATGTACAGCTTGCAGCAGATGCAATACGCATTACAATCATGCCTCGCTTGCATTTTTGCAATCATGCAACCTCGCTTGCAATCATGCCTCGGTGCATTTTTACCGAAGATACAGCCTGCTTAATTTTGTCTCGATTTGTAGTGAACACATATCAAGCTAGCGTGTGGTGAGATGATTGTTTGACATAAACTGGACGGCAATTCAGAACATTCGTTTTTTTATCATGACAAAATGAGCATTTTCATCGCTCATTTATTTGCCAGCTCTTCTCAAGGTCCTCCTACAATAGTCCGTGCACATACTCCCAGACCCACTTGCACAAGGCGCAGACGGGCCCGTTACATAAATATTGGGATGAGGACGCTTACCAAGAGAAAAACAAACATAAAACAGCGGTGGTGTACAAAGCAAGTGAACATATACACTCACCTATGACCTAGAGCAGAGCGCACACACATAAAAATATTGACACCGTTAGCGGTGTAATTGCACAGTACATATCTGAGCACTTGAGGAAAGTTAATTTAGTCCCTTCCCCGCTTAAATTACTCGCGCTTCCAAATGAACACCAGGAAGAAGGTAATAGAACACTGTTAGGAGGGTTGGGTGTTTTACTACATGTAGCAAAACACCCGACCCTCCTAACAGTGTTCTATTACCTTCTTCCTGGTGTTCATTTGGAAGCGCGAGTAATTTAAGCGGGGAAGGGACTAAATTAATTTTCCTCAAGTGCTCAGATATGTACTGTGCAATTACACCGCTAACGGTGTTAATATTTTTCTGTGTGCAGCGTATACGAGCACAAAAAGATATATTCGGGTCAACCAGATCCAGAATGTCCAAGATAACCTGTAGACGGGGTTTCATGAAGCAATGTTTCACTTAACGTGCTGTTCCGATGCCACCGTTTTGCATAAGCATAGTGGAATGTAGTACCGACTATGTAGGCACCTTATCTGTTGCATACCGGACAGGCGGATACGTTTTATCGTATATACCTACCTACCTACCTTTCAAACATCGTCTCGTTAAATACAAATCTACCTCATACCTGCTCAATTTTACCTGTTCCTTACTAGAAAAAAAAACATCATAACTTGCAGAATTAGCATGTGTAGATGTTCGTTTGTCCGGATATCGCTTCCTCGTTCAGTTTCAGTCGTCTCTTAAAACCGGTTCGGCAATGGCTCTCTAAACAACAGCAATAACAATGTAATTCATTCAAAATATCGTTGCCTATACACTGAGCTTGTCGTTACCCTTGGCCTTGTTAATCGCTTCCCAGTAATTGTCGGTGCTGGTCGCCTCCCAGTGACGAATTTCGGCAGGCAAACTGGCGAACCTGCGGAAATACGGGATACCTATCACTGGAAACAATCACCGTCGTGACTCGTGACAGAACCAAAAGCGAAAGCGACAACAGAGCTAAAGACTTATTAATGTCACATTAACGTTACGCAGTGTTTGTGCAGTGTCTACTTGAGTGTGTACTGTGTACTGTGCAGTGTGTACATATATTATACAGTACACATGGACCGATAAACACGCCAACGAATGGTATATCGCGGTCGCGGCCGTTTCCACGCACCTGTCCAGCACTTCCCGCAGCATGACCGTCTCCTCGGCGCTGATTGGCTCTCGGCTCATCTCCAGGTCCTGACGCACCTGCTCCGGTGACGTCACACCCATCAGGTGTGACGTCACACCGGGCCGGGTCAGGAAGTAGTGCAGCGCCAGGCGGGTCAGGTCAAAGCCGCGCGACTGGAGGAACAGCGGAATGCGCCATCAGGAAATGTCCCAACTATACCAATGATTGTCACGAAAATGTTAGAATATGAAAACGACATAAATGATATACCTATGTAGATATCACTTCTATCGGATTTATATCACAACTAAAATAGCATTGAAGAGTATGAGAAAATAAGATATGAGAAGATCTATGCCGTCTGCGCAGGTGTTTGCCGTTTCGTAAATACCTTGCAGAGCTGTTTCATCTCGCGACAGGCCTGTTTGAGCTTATCGGAGGCCGGGTGCCAGTCCGGGGGGTCCACGGGTGATAGGAGACCCATCGAGGTGGCTCCGGCGTCTATGACGCCGATATTCCGTTCACTGGAGGTCAAAGCAGATGACTAGATTACATCTAGAATGCATGTAAGTTGACATAAATGTTGATTGAATTAGGGAAGCAAGATAACATATTTACAAATTATGTGTTAGAAACTTTAACAAATAATATGCTAGCGTCCGTTTTGAGCACCAAGGCTTACCGGAAAAATGGTATAAACGATTCCAGTGTGTTGTCATGGAGATTGTTTCGGCTGTACGATAAAACTGAGTCGATTTTCACCTTACTTCGCTTGACCACTTCTTTGAGCGTGCTCACGGGATAACCTGAGGAACAAAGAGAAGCACCAAATATGTTAGACACTCGACGCAAGCCAGTCAGTGCAATATCCAGTACATTCCACACTTGACAATACAGTATGCATTCACAAGCAAAACATTTGACCCACAATCGCCTCATGCAACCCCTTGTCAAGCCCCGCCACAAGACCCTCTTATCCCCGCCCACCTGTGATGCCGACGTAGCGCACCAGGCCCTGCTGGCGCAGCTCGTCCAGTGCCGGCAGCGTCTCGCTGACGATCGTCTCCAGGTCAGCGCAGAACTCCAGGTCATGCACCTGCAGCAGGTCGATCCTGGAGAGACCCAGCAGCTGCAGACTGTGCTCCACGCTGAGGCGGACCCGCTCTGGACGAAAGTCGAACATCCGCGCCGGCTCCAGCTCGTAACGGCCTACCTTGTCGGCCATGTTAAAGGCCTGGCGGGGTATGTTTCGCACCGCCTGGGAGATGGGACGGGTCAGGTCAGGTCAGGTCAGGTCAGGTCAGGTCAGGTCAGGTCAGGTCAGGTAGATTATGTTTTGGAACGGTACGTTTATACTGTATGTATATTGTATATGCTGTAAATCACTAAGAGATTGACAGCATATTTCATAGAAAGAGAAATAGGTCAGGTCAAGCTATAGGTCAGGACATTGAAAAAGACTACGTTGGTTGGAATGCCACGGTTGCGCATGTATGTATGTTTGTCCATATACATGTATGTACTATGTAGGTATACGTATGTACATATAAGGAAAGGAACGATAATAGCCGTTTTCACGACGGCCATCTGGTACACATTTGGTGCACATCTGGTACAGATTAGGTGCAGATTTGGTCAAATCAGGTGCATTCGCCGGATAGCCCGTCGTGAAAACGGCTAATGTCAGCTTAGGTCAGATCGAAGGCCTGGAGGATCCAGCACAGCCACTTGGGAATGCAAGGACCAACGAACCGTGAAATGCATTTCACTGCAGTTTAATGCACGTGCCTCGATGTCAGCACTCAGCACCCTTGTATCTGACCGTGTTTGGGTGTGCTCATTTACATCCTCACCTCACCAATGAGCTGCTCGCTGTGGCCCTGGCCGTACCAGGGCGAGGTGTCGATCAGGTTCACCCCGGACCGGAGCGCCAGGTCGATGGCCTGAATGGCCCCGTCACGGTCATACTCGCCATACAGCCCTCCGAAACCTCCGCCGCCGAGACTCAGCTCCGAGACAAGCAACTCTGCGGTAACAAAGGACTGATATTCAGAAACGGCGACCAGTGCATGGCGGCCGGTCGGAAACCGTGTTCCTTTAGTGCATATTTATGTAGTTTACAGATATGTAACTCATTTTTTATATTATTGTGTGCGAAAATTGTTATCAGATACAGTACTTACTGCTGACGTAAATCAAAACGTCAGCAGTAAGTGAAATAAGAAACAAATATGGTGTGGATGAAGCATTCCGACACTTTGGTTGAAGTTTGAACCGTTGTCGTTTAAACTCGTGTCACCGTACTCACCAGTGTTCCCGAGCCTGTTGTAATTCATCATTTCGACAGCTACCGTGTCGTGGAAGCCGTCCACAAATGTCTCCACGATGGGCGCCATCACGGGGTCGCTGGCTGTGACCGACTGAGGGAGACCGGGTGAACCCGGGAGGAGCTAAAACGGTCAGTACGCCGGCACTGCCGGCAGTGGACTTCACCAGTTAGAGAAAACAAATAATTGCACACGTTTCAATTACTTATCCTTAGAAATAAACAACAAACACTTCTTTGCTTTCAAAGTTGGTTCAAATACTGAGCAACTCAAGCATAAAAAGCTACATTTCTCCTAACATGCTATTTAATTTTTTTAGTGCCTTGTTTCGGTATTAAAACGGACGGAACTCTTCTTTGTTTCGTGAATGAGTTGGCATGAGCGCAGTTCCCTTTGAAAAGCTGTACGTTAGTCGATTGATTTAACACTTAGATAATTGCTAAAAATGTAATCCCGTTGCTCTGAAACAGCGTTTAGCCAAGTTAAATTGTTCGGAAATGACTTAAATAAATATGCTTATCTCGTCTCCTTACCTTGCATTGTTGATTCACCTTGAGACTGCCTTGTTTGTTTTATAACTTCATGTGATTATAAAGCGAGCATTGGTATTGCACAGGCAGTTTCAGTAATATGTATGTACTTACATATCGTTGTTGGGTTGGTGATAATATAGAAGCAGTATGGAAAATTGACTTACCAATAATTTCACGTGTGCTCAGTATAATCTCGTAAGAAGTAAGCATCCACCTACCTTCACTGTTGCCCAATCAAAGCCGCCTGTAAACCACACTTACGCTATATACCACTGCAGGCGGCAATGTTTTCAGCACTGCACAGCACGCGTCTCCACCACTACTCGCCCGCGTCGGCTGAGGCTCGGGCGCAGCGGACCGCTCTACGCGGGGTCTGTTTATATAGTCACGTAGCACATGCCAACAGGGGCAGTTCAAGGTCGATATTCAGTTCCAGCTAACCTTGCAGCTCATTTGGTTGCACGGTGCAGGTGGGTGATGGGAGCAGCCAGCAGGTCACTGTTTCGTTGCCCATCGTAAGACCAAACGATGGTTGTATAATGTTATCCTACTACCAGTCATATTATAGAGATCAGCAATATACGCAACGGAGACGGCTGATGAGTACTGCGCCACTCGGCCGTGTAAGCTCGGTAACCATGCTAACCAGGCCACGAGCTGGGAGCTTTTAGATTAGGCTCCTTCTCCTAGCGTCAAAAAGTGGGCTGTTTGCCTCCCTACTGATGGTTTCTTTCAGATTGAGGATAGGCATTTCTTTTTGATAAATTTAGTCCGAACCCTTTGAATTGAATTATTCACATGAGGGACAGAGCCCACGCTAAGCGAAGCTTTTTGTGGTGACCCTGTGCTCTGCCCTCCGATCGCGCAATTCCGGTTCTATGCAGACTGGTGTTCGATTCGTTCGATTCACCCGTGATTGAATCGATTTGATTGAATCAAACAAAATTTGTCGAATCGAAAAGTTCAGGACTGTTCGATTCACAAGCCAAGCCATGGTAGAATAGCACGCATTTAGGGTTGATTGGATTGAAAAAATTAACGATTCATGAACTAAAAAATAAAATAAAAATTAAGTGAGCATAGTTCATTATCAACAATGCACATGAAATGCAACAATGGCGCTGTTCAGATGTAAAAATTCATTATGTAAAAATAATCGCCAAAACATTGGTTTGAGATTTTTTATTCGAATCGAAAAAAGAATCATTCCATAACTGTTTGGCTGAATCAAACTTACCTAAAACGTTCCCTTTTTTGTTTTTTAATTCTGAATCGAAACGAATCGATTCACCTTTTTTTGAAGGAATCCAACGGTTATTGAATCGAGAAAAAAATCAGATGCATCAATGATTCAAGCGATCCAAAAAAAAGTAAATCAATAACCAGTCTGGTTCTATGACAGAATTTGGAGTCCAAAATTTAACGTGCGCACATAGCCGCGCACGGCCGGTTCCCTCACTGACTTCGCCTGGCTACGGCCTGCCACCAACCACAACCATAACTGTCAGTTGGCTCAGCAACATCAAGCGCCCGTCGTGCTTCGAACCCTTCAACCCGGACTGTTATAAACGGGATCGCGTGCTCTCACCACGCGGAGTCCAACGCTCTACCGGCTGAGCTACGGGACCGACTGGCGGCTTAAACTGAATATAATGTCAACCCGCTAGAACTTTTTCAATTTACATATCTAACTTCTACCTGCCTACAATCTAAAATCTATTTAGCCAACCATGTCCAAACTCCAAACCACCATTGGTATCATCCAGCTATGCATTTTCTTTCGGTAAATTTCCGACCACCATCAGATTCAGCTGTCATGCCCATTAGGGGTACCCATTTTTCCCGATTTTGGAAATTTGTGGGTGGGGGTGGTTTTTCCCATTATTTCGCGGCTTGTGATTCCAATGATGCCAAAAATATTAAAATCAAAGGTGGTTTAGGGGTCGCGAATTGAGATTGAAATTTGCGTATTTACCTAGAATTATGCCTATTTGACGCTGATAATAAATCGCACTAAAGGCAAAGTTTTTGTTTTGAAAGTCGGGTAGAGGGGTCATTGATCGCTCATTTCCTCATCCAGATCGATGTGCTCCATCACGTGGTTCCGGTTAAATGCTTTACTAGCGATCATTACGATGTCGATATTGTAACATTTGGTGAAAACGCCGGGAATCCCGGCGACCAACAACAGGAGCAAAACATCCCGGCCCGGGATGTTTTGCCCCTGTTCTTGGTATCGTTCTGGTCAGCGTGTAATCATTTTTGAAATCTTCTGCCTCTTGAAGGTCATGAGTTGTAATGGTGACCTTTGATGACCTGTGAGGTCAAATTAAAATGTGACCTTCAGTTGCCACGTCTCTGTTCATGACAGGCTCTTTGTGTCCATACAATTAAAGTTTGTGCAAATGAGCTCAGGATACATCTCACAGATCATGGCTTCGAATGGATTTCAAATCATGTAATTAAAAAACGATCGAACCATTTTGACCGTATGCTTCCACAAGAAACTCCGTCCTGATCGCTCACGGCTACGATGTAATACACCTATGAGACAGGGTAGGATGAATCTGGGTGTTCTACCCAAAAATATCAACTTCTAATCCGAAAACAAACTCGAAAGCGTCGATTCTTTCCATGCCCACCAATCATGTACTATTCCATTTCTTCAGTGGGGACAGATACACACCGTTCTTGTGTAAGAGTTTCCGATACAACTGCAGATCATTTACGAGTTCATATTCGACCACAGGCGACTAGCCATGCGCTGATACGTGCATGGTTGATATGTGACAAAGACCTTTCACAGCTTCTTGCACAGATCACTTGTGATCTCAGGTACCTAGTTGGCGTCTGAGTTTGAAGAAACTAATGTAGCAGGAGATTTTCATCCTGCATGGGCCGTATGGTGGTACCAGGACGCATCATATGAGGGAGTGTGCGTGCAGAGACTGAAGACGAGGAGAACCAGGTCCGCCACCTAAGGTCAATGGCCCACCCACTGTGTCGGCCCCCAGGCAATGCCAGGAGTCAGTAAACGGTTCTACCTCGGAGTTGGCTGAGCCGTCTAGACTTTGGCACCTTCCTAATTTCCAGCTTTAGGCAATGACATCTTCATCTTCGTCTTCATCTTCGTTTTGCTTCTGTATATCTATACCGAGATAAAACAGCACTAAGCTATGCCGGTATGCATGAATGATGACCTTTGCCAATTTGCTAGCCGACCTCCCCGAGTCCCGGAGTTGCAGAGACGGTTGACGGATGAGGGAGACAGATGGCATTCGTCGACTTCAGTTCAACATCAGCTGAGGGTTTGGACTGAGCCTGTATAGAGTGCAGTGTGCAGTGTAAGGTCCGTTATCTTGAAAGGATACTGCTGGCAGCGGCCGTCACCAGGCACTGGTTCCATGACAAGCTATCTGCACCCGTCTCAAGTCATCAGCTGGTATAGAAGTGACACATGCCCAGAATTGGAGTCACGAGCAGTCGTGCACGCGTTCGGCCAGGCCAGTGCTGTCCGTCATAAGCAAAATTGCAAACATATTTCTTTCATAATGGGTTGAGGATGGAGTTTCGGTGTTACTGTCCTGTGATGTTCTTGCCTCTTGGCCAGCTTCCTTTCCATATGCTCAAACGCACATGCTGTGTGCGGGTTTGGGTGTTTGTGGGGGAGGGACAAAGCTAAACTCATACAGCAACCACCCGACGGTGGTGTAAAGCTTGCGCCCCTCCCTCATCCGTCTCTGCAACTCCGGGACTCGGGGAGGTCGGCTAGCAAATTGGCAAAGGTCATCATTCATGCATACCGGCATAGCTTAGTGCTGTTTTTATCTCGGTATAGATATACAGAAGCAATTGATAACTTCTTTATCTACTTCATGCCATATTTCCGTTAAAATACGGCATGCGAGTTATATGGTTATACCGTAACGGTTTTTAATGCCCCTTCCACCCAAATTGTATCGATAGGTCAATGTTCATGTCCTGGGGATTGGTCATTCCCTTTGCTGAATGAGACGACTCATTGAAAATTAGGTGGTTCCAATGAGAAAGCCTCGATCGCTGATTTTAGCCCCCTGACTACATAGCCATTCGTTCTAAGGCCGGGGGGATCCAGGGCGTCGCAAGTCCATTTACGACACGTCGCAAGTTACGACACATGTCCCGTCGCAAGTTGTGTCGTAGCGAAAAAGGAGGGATGTTGAGGAAAAAGGGGTTTGTCGGAGGATACGACAGAACGTAGCTGCGACAAGGTTTAAATACCCGCTTTACTCGAGAATTTAAAAGGCTACACGATCAGCTGATCCCGTAGTAAGCGTCAGTAAGGTCGAAAACTCTATCAAGCATAAAGGAACATTCGCCCTTCTGGTTTGCGAGCTTATGAGACAGCCAGTTCAAGCATGTTCTCTGATTCTGAAGCTTGGTCTCAACTGGGTGACTTGTGGTTGCTAACGCTCACGTGAGTTGCCATGAATTTTGGGATCGATCACAGGAGATTCGTGGCGCTATAGGGCATCTAGAAGCGATGCTTTAGAAGAAATGAGTTAAGAGAGTATGAGGTCACAGAGAGTTAGTAGAGTTGGAGATTGAGGTCACAATTGGATGTTACAGAGGTCATCTGGGACACTTCAGGTCACGGAGGTCAACTTGGGGTCATCACAGAGCTCAATTGGAGACCACGGAAGTAATCTGAGACACGTCAGGTCACAGAAGGCAACTTGGGGGCAGGTCAGGTTACAGAGGTCAACTCGGGGTCATCACAGAGCTCAATATGGGGTCATCTGGGACACGCCAGGTCACAGAGGTCAGCTTGAGGTCATCAAAGAGCTCAATTGGAGGTCACGGAGGTCATCTGGGACACGTCAAGTCACAGAGGTCAACTTGGGGTCATCACAGAGCCCAATTGAAGGTCATGGCGGTTATCTGGGGCACATCAGGTCAGATAGGTCAGCTTGGAGTCATCAGAGGGGTCACTTAGAGGTTACAGAGGTCATATGGGACACGTCAGGTCACAGAGGTCAACTTGAGATCATCACAGAGCTCAATTGGAGGTCACGGAGGTCATCTGGGACACGTCAGGTTATAGAGGTCAACTTGGGGTCATCACAGAGCTCAATTGGAGGTCATCTGGGACACGTCAGGTCACAGAGGTCAACTTGGGGTCACCACAGAGCTCTATTGGAGATCACGCAGGTCATCTGTGACACGTCAGGCTACAGAGGTCTACTTGGGGTCATCACAGAGCTCAATTGAAGGTCATCTGGGACACATCAGGTCACAGAGGTCGGCTTGGAGTCATCAGAGAGCTCAATTGGAGGTCACGGAGGTCATCTGGGACACTTCAGGTAACAGAGGTCAACTTGGGGTCATCACAGAGCTCTATTGGAGGTCATGGGGGTCATCAAGGTACACGTCAGGTCACAGAGGTCAACTTGGGGTCATCACAGAGCTCTATTGGAGGTCACGGAGGTCATCTGGGACACGTCAGGCAACTTGGGGTCATCACAAAGCTCAATTGGAGGTCATCTGGGACACGTCAGGTCACAGAGGTCAACTTGGGGTCATCACAGAGATCAATTCGAGGTCATGGGGGTCATCTGGGACACATCGTTTTTAGAATTTGGAGAATCTTTTGGGGGATGCCCCTCGCAACGTCCAAGACCGCCTTTCTGGATTCGCCAGTAGTTGCTGGAATGGTGTTAGGCTACTTCATATCCATGAATACCCCAATAAATGTGAATATAACATATTATGCACCATGTTCAACACTCTCGCTGGCGCGGATTGAGGCCTCATAGACGAACCGTTGGTTCTTGCTTTATAACTCGCGTTAGCGGCAACGGATTGCAACGAAATTTTCAGGATCTCAAGTTTCAACAATTTTCCACGTACCATGCAAATTTCGTGACCATGACCCCAATGACCTGTGACCTGTGACCTCTCCCTCAAGGCCATATCAACTTGCGACACAACTTACGACTGCTATTTCAAATTCGTAAGTTGTGTCGTAAATCAGGCACTTTGCGATAGACTTTACTTCTTAAGTAACGCTACTCATCAATTGATCCCTCCAAAAACGACTTACTACACAACTTGCGACACGTCGCAGCTGCGACGAGGCTTACGACGATCTGGATCCCCCCAGCCTAAGAGTTGCGGTCTTGTGTAGGTGGTAATGACGGTCTAAGCCAGAGTGAGTGTAAATGAGCATATGCTGTTCATTGACCAAAATGATATTTTTGGTGCTCTCTTTTACCGCTGCACGTCGAATATACCTACAGGCTACAACTAAAGCAATGTTGCACGGTGTCTAACAGCCATTAATACCACTGGAACACGTTGGCTTTGCATATTTATAGTCGTTGAAATGAAGTCATTTTTCCACTAAAATTAAAACTCCAATGCAAGCTTGCGACCCATAAAAGTGATCTAATATCGTTACTTCTGTCACTGCTATAGATCCAGAACAGAGCAAATAATGATAAAATCGACCCCGACCTGTTGGCATGGTAACCTTGTCCCAACATAAATAATGGTAATTTGGTCGATTTTCTGATAAAATTGACATGTTCATTTTGAATTCGTGACCCCCAAAAATCGTTTGCCTTCGTTATTTTCGGCACAGATGGAATCAGAATAGACCAAATAATGGGAAAATTGACCCCAACTTGTTGGCATGGTAACCTTGTTCCAAAATTAAATAGTATTAATTTGGCCGATTTTTCGCTAAAATTGGCATTTTCAATTTGAATTCGCGACCCCTAGAAATGGTTTGATTTCGGTATTTTTGGCACAGATGGAATCAGAATAGACCAAATAATGGGAAAATCCACCCCCACCTAAAATTTGAAAAATTGACCCAAAAATGGGTACCCCTAATGCCCATGACCCACTACTCTCCTCAGTTACCTACTCCGAAACTACCGGTAAACGATAAGGGCGGTCGGTTCCGAATCGGTCATAATGTGCGCCCACCCTCGTCACAGACAGGTTATCTATAGACACTCCTCCAAAAACGTACCTAGGTAGTACGGCTCAGGATCAGTGATCTAAAGTGGATGAATTTGGAGGACAGGAAGGTAGAATACGAAAAATAAAAATTGGGTAACTCACCTCCGTTGGACCCAAAGTCCGGGATGCATCTGAAGACTGAAAAATGCAAGGCCTTATGGCTTCTGTATAGCGTCATATGTCATTACGGAGCGAGCGAAGCGAGCGTAGTCTTTCCTTAGATTAACGGAAATTTCTGAGTATGAGCGGCCGGCCGGCCGGCCGGCCGTGGTCACGCTTCTGCGAGGCTCATATCTCAGCAACCACTTGACCGATTTGCACGCGGTAATTTTTGTAGGGTAGCTTCATTCCTTCTACCAAGTATTGGACTATTCCCGATGCATGTGGGTGACCCCTTATGCACGTGCCACGTGCAAAACGAAGAGGTGTCACTTTTGTAATTGTTGCAATATCTCGGTAACTACTTGGCCGATTGCGCTGAAAGTTGGCATGTAGGTAGGCACCCACTAGGCACTGCATATCCATGTGCCAGAGTTGGGGTGCTGCTGCACGTGCGCACGTGCAGGGGTCGTTTCCAGATCTCGAGAACGGCTGGACCGATTGCGCTCAAATTTGGTACACGGTTAGGGACCGGTTAGTAGGGCGCCGTGCACAAGTCAGTTGGGACCCATTTTGCACGTGCGCACGTGCAGGGTGCCGCTTCCAGATCTCGAGAACGGCTGGGCCGATTGTGCCCAAATTTGGCACATCGCTAGAGACCAGTTAGTAGGGTGCCGTGCACAAGTCAGTTGGAGGTACCCCCTCGCAATTTCGCACGTGCAAGGCCCACCCTCTCGCTCGCTCCGTTAGTCGCCCCAAAAGGCGTTATACTGGTTCCTATTCTTATTTTTCTCATCCTTCATCCCCTTCCCCCCGCCCCCCAGGTAAGCACCCCACCCTTCCCAAGTTGGGACGGGGTTAAACGCGCCTGGGCTACCTATCATATTCCGCCCTTCCCCTAGGGTAGCTGCTGCCCGCCCTTCTCGAGCTGGAGCGGGGTGGACTCACCTAGGCTACCTATCGGCTATTCTGACCTTTCCTTCCGAGAACGTATCACATTTCGGTACCCTCTTTTTCTCATTCACATGACTAATCATCTTGTCTAGGATTCTGGCACTTGAGTCTTGAAACACCGCACAAGTTTTGTCAGTGTTTTACCAAATGCAGACGCACCATTCCAATCCCTTGCCTGAGGTCCCGCCATCTGCCCACCCAAGGAATTGGCGCGTCTTTGCAGTCATTTGCACGCAATAGGTTTCCACTCCTTCCTTTACGAGCCGAGGCTGTGGAAACCTAACAGGTAAGTTTAACGGTGAGTATTCAAATTTGTACGCTCTGCGCAATCCCTTTATTTTCCCCTTTGCCAGGTAGAGGTAATTTGGCAGCACATAATTATAGATGGCACACCATTACAAGACGTTTACTGCGCAGGCAAACGTCCTCAAGCAGTACAATCGCTGAAAAATATTTTATGGAGGTACGTGATTTTAGAAGAAATATTAGGCATAGACCACGGTCATAGATGCAGAGACATGTAAAAGGAATAACATTCATTTGAAAAATCAGAGAAAGAGTCACTTAGCTATAAACGCCACTGAGATTATCCTGTCGGTAGGTCAAGGTACTGGTACGGTTTGAATTTTGCATAGGTAGGTACCTACCTAAATTGATATTTTTTTGTGCATGAAGGCTAAAATGCTTTTTGCCATGAATCCAAGTGTTTGAATATTATATGAGGTAAAGCCATCTCGAAGCCAAACCATGTAGGTAATTAATGTCAATACAAAATGCATTACATTTGCACGAACGGGGACATGAGCAGGTTCAGGATTGACCACAAAGCCGGATCAGTCGGGCGCACTGTGGTATCTCCGATTCATTTATGGAGACGTTTCTATTATTGGAAACGTTTCCAATTTTGACTACTCTTCTGTTCCAAAAATGGAAACGCTCGTTCCATAAATAGAAACGCTAACATCTCCGCACATATTTTCTTGCCAAGGGTGGCTGGATTCGATGTATAACAACTGTTTCGCGTAAAACAAGCTCAGATACACCAAAAGCACTTGTCTTCTTGCATGGAAAGCTGTCGTATGCATTAAAATTCACGTCTTTAAAATGCTCCTGAATCGTATCCATTTATGGAGACTTAGTTTCCAAAAATGGAAACGCCGATGTTCCAAAAATAGAAACGCTGAAGTTCAAATGTGTGCAAACTTAGCTTAAATGTGTTTTTAAAATTTACATGCAACTAAAAATTTGATGTTTTGGGACTGGTTTAGCATCTCGGCTCTCGGCAGTTACCTTGGACGCCGGGTTCGATAATAATACCTTACGAGCCGCAACTTGAGCACATTCAAAAGTCAACTAAAACTAAGATTTCCCAGAAACTACTGGACAGATGTGGTCCAAAGTGGGCAATACATAAAGCGTAGATATCATTTCAATATATAAAATTAATATCCATGTTACACATGAGCTAGAATGAATAAATTCATCGTCAGAATGCAATGGTATTTGGTGTGACGACGGTGCAGACCTTATTTCCATCCTGCTTTTTACGTATTTGCACGGAGATTTACGTTGATCCGAGCCTACGATCATATTCAGCACATTTGAAATATCATAAAATGCCCACTTAAGTCTCCAAATAGGGCTTTGCAACAACTTTCATGCGATTTAATAAAAGATTGACGACCACCAGGCCGCTGGTACACCGGAAAACGCAGCGTGATAATGAATGAAAAACTGAAGTTCCCGGTGATGTGGTTGTTCCAATCAATGGGTCAGTCTTTCAGTAGTCTGTTAAAAACGTTATTTTTTGTTCAAAACATTCATAAATGTTATTATTTTCGATTAGAAAAACGTGTGAATTTTTTATCACGTCAACATGTTATAAGCATCGCCTCGTTCGTCAACTTTCGGTTTTCTGATCGGAAAGTCGGAGAACAGGAACATAAACTAGAATGCTGGCTGTCGATTGGTGGCATCCTGCGCATGCCAAATAGCACCAATCAATGCCCAGTTTGCTTTAAAGGTAGCGATGCACGCGATGCACACAGCGTCTCCATTTATGGAACAGATCGTTTCTATTTTTGGAAACGGCGTATCCATTTTTGGAACATTGTTCCAAAAATGGAAACGTTTCCATAAATGGATCGGAAATACCACAGTGTGCCCGACTGGGATTGCTCCAATTTTCAAATTGTTGAGATTGTTAGAAAATTAATAAGTTCATTGTTATTTTCATTTAAGTAAACAATACAATGACTGAATCTTTCCTAAAAGGTCGTTTGTTGACTTGTAGGCAGTCATATGCCTGCCTCCCTTTTTCCTCCTAATTTGCATCGCTCAGTTTTTTTTTTTTCTAAAGCATACCATTGTTTCATAATAAGCCTCATGGATGTTTTTTTTGCAATATAACTGATCTTGTTGTATGTGAATGTGTGGTTGCATTCAGTTGCACATTGTCGGGTTGTCCAATGTCCATGCTATCTCCTTCCATCCCTTTTGTGATTTCAATTTTATCCGCAACCATTTACAAGAAAGGATAATCATCATTACACTGTAAGAATAGGTATTGCCTGGTTGTATTTCTTTAGGGATTAATGAGCCAATTGCATTGCTACACATTGCAGCATTGATTCTGATTCACTTTCTGTCTTGTTGAAAAGTTAAAGGTGTTCAAGTAGTGACATCATAACTGACATAAGATTGGAAATAGATTCAAGTGGAGATTACATCATTTGAAGCACCAATAGATAATGTTATAGGCATATATGCTTATCTATAAATCCAAATATCAAAACCAATGGCTGTAGAATATGAGGATTGCTTATGGGAGTTAGGTGGGTAGGAAGTTAGGTACTCACTTTCAGTTGGTTTTAACTACATGAAACATCGTGTATCCTTCAAAATTTCATACACATTCTTTGGATTTTTTTTTTTTAGCAATTTATACCAACCCTTAAGGTTTAAATTCCTCATTTTGTTGATGTTCTGCTCCCACGAATTCCTACCTAGGGTCCCGACTTCCCTCAGACCATTTCAGGGATTGTATTTGTAATTGGCTGTGTGACTCATTGTATTTTCATTTCAGGATTTGTATCCAGGAGCCATGACTCCGGTTGATGATATCAAGTATCTCATCAACTCTGTCATCCTTGGAGAGGAGCCGGTTAGTTTTGTTGTTTTATTGTCTATGTGAACAGTGTGGATAAAAATGTCAGTGGATGACATGGGTGCCTATTCTTGTTTTCTAACTTCGATTGCATGAGTGTACCCTTAAAAACGTACTTATTATAGACATGATTTCTTAAAATTTAGGCACCTGCATTTGCGATTCAATGACATTTCAACTTCTTTCATCCAGATATTTTTTTTACTATCTTGTTTTGTGACCAGGCTGTGGCCTCTGTTTCCCAGTCTGTGGAGGACTTCATTCTGTTCATCGGCACCCTGGTGGCGTTCATCGCCTTCATTCTGTGGTGCTGCTTCCCAGTCATCCCCAAGGACTCGCAACCCAACTCGGAGAACCAGTACCGACACTACAAAAAGACAGATGCAAACGCCATGTATAAGGAACTGCAACGAAGTTAGCCGGCCGGTCGGCGCTAACCGGCCGGCCGCAATGTTGTGTAGATGGCAGCACGATCTGACCGCCAGGTGGCTCTACTCTCGGGGATGCCAATAGCGGCTGGGATGGCGAACTCATCTACATGTCTGATGTATTTCGTGTCTGAGGCGATACGGCCCCGGCGGGTGCTTACCGATACTCTGGGGCATAATGCACGTTCCAGGTGGAGCGTGCCGAGGGCAGTAACCGGGGGCTGCTTCGCTTGGCGACGTTTGCCCCGCTCGTGACTACAAGTATCGTGTCCTCTGTTGATCTAACGAGTGTTTGTGATGCCACTTTTCTTGATCCCGGCGCTCGATAAGCGTTTGCTGATTGTATGTGTATGTGTGTGCGTGACTATGTGGTGGAGCACAAAGCTAACGGCAGTGGGCGGCTCGCTTCGACATTCGGCCGGCTTTTCCTCGTGCGCTGAGACCCAGCGCCGGGCGGAGTGACGAATCGCGTGCGTCTGGGTGTCTCCGCATGCTCAGTGTGCGCTCGGGCTCTGTATCATGAACCGTATGGCCGGGTGTATTACACGCCAGTGGCCGGCTGACCTCTCCCACATTCCGGCGTTCGCCGTCCAGCAGCCTGACCTGACCTGACCCTCAGTGACCCAGCCGCCTGCTCCAGTTATTACCCGGATTACCATCCCTCGATGCTAATGTCTACACCTATATCCCTAAGTGGAGGACCTACTGTTGTGTGCCGTTTTCTGGCGGTTAGTATTCGGCTGATTGTCTGGCGTTGCTCCATGGGTGTTGTGACTTGTTTTGGCGATCGTGGACATTGATTGGTCAATCCCCTCCCTGTTGATGGCTGCTGAAAGTTCTCTGCTCTCTCTCTCTCTCTCTCTCTCTCTCTCTCTCTCTCTCTCTCTCTCTCTCTCTCTCTCTCTCTCTCTCTCTCTCTCTCTCTCTCTCTCTCTCTCTCTCTCTCTCTCTCTCTCTCTCTCTCCTCTCTCTCTCTCTCTCTCTCTCTCTCTCTCTCTCTCTCTTTCTCCCCCTCTCCCTCTCCCTCTCCCTCTCTCTCCCTCTCTCTCCCTCTCTCTCTCTCTCTCTCTCTCTCTCTCTCTCTCTCTCTCTCTCTTTCTCTCTCACACCCACACACACCCACTCCTAGTTAATATACTATTTGTCTGTCCTATTTGACCTTCCAGCTCCCCTTTTCCTATCCTCTGCCTCCTCTCACTCGTCAGCTGTCCAGCCTGATCCTGTCCAGTCTGTACAGACTCTCTGGGTTGTTCGCCATGTGTCGTGTATTTATAATGTATATTATTAACTGTGATACGCGCCCGATTACCATGCCGCCATCCCCGGGCGGATAAGCAGTCGTTTCCGCTCTCCGGTCTTGAGTGTGCGCTCGTGGCATTCGGTGCGTCATTGGGCTCTATGAGACGGCGCATCGGAGCGGGCGACGTGCTTTTATGAATTTGTCGTACAATATACTGGATGGAATAGCCCGCTCTGATGGGGTTGTAGAAACGGACGAGGGGAGTGGGGTCTGGGTGGTGATCCAAGCATGAATGCTGAACAGGGTGACCGGTGGGAAATCTTCTGTGTATGATGTCGCATTGCCTTGTCAGGAACTATTGCTTCTTGGTCTCACCGGGCTGTCACGTTGGGGTCATATGTTGGTGGCCTGGTCTTTGTATGTGTGTGCTGCGTTGGTCGACCTTGAGGATCGAGGTGATACGTTATTCACCTCCTCAGGAGCGGGGCAAGATCCATATCCTAAAATCGAGCATCAGCTCAGATAAGCGACCATAGAAGAAACAATGCAGAATGAGGAGATGAGGTCGAGTGTGTTGGATTGAAAGCGAAAGGTGAACACCACCGAAAAGTATCTGATGTGAGATTCTGGCATCTCAGAGTCTCAACCTTCCCTTACCGCGATACAGCAGCCACCTAGCGGTCAAGGCTTCAAGCGTAGCTCGACCGTCTATTTCGTAGGTGGCGCATGAGGTATCTTTTCAGCCGCGTTTGCGGCCGAAGAGAGGGGAGGACTGCGGACTGCGGAGGGCGAGGCTGTCCAGTGGCCATCGTACAGATTAGGTAATGCAGAACGTCAGCGTGGGAGACGGGAGTACATTTGTGGGATGCTTTGGGAAGGGAAATTGCCACGAATGCCTCCCTCCCCCTTGATCGGAGAGTGGCTTGATCACATTGTGCTGCTTTTACAGGCACGTAGCCAGGATTTTGCTCAGGGAGGGGCCACAGGTCGCGGCTTAGTGGCGTATGTACCTACCCCCTCCAAAAAAGGAAAGCTCCTCTGATTTAGCCACTATTTTTGGGGGTGAGGTGCAGCTATTTTATTTTTATTTGATTTGATTTGATTTTTTCGCCTTGGGGGGGAGGGTCATGACCCCCGTGCCACCCCCCTTGGCTGCGTTCCTGTGCTTTTATTAGTGGCAGTGGTGGCAGCGTTTTATCTTGGCAAATGACAGCGTGACCTTGGTGACATCCGCAGGTATTCCGTAGGTCAGAATGGGCTCGTCCACACACGCCGTTTCGTTTTCTCCGTCTTCAGGATACTCAAATGCTTCTCCTCCACGCCTCCGCATAGGCGCGGGAACCGGGGGGGGGGGGGGGCGCAGCTTGCCCCCCCCCCAACTGGAGCTGTGGGGGCGGTGTCCCTACAACTTTGAGACGGATATACCTCCGCGCGCACTTTTTATGCAAATGTTTTCTTTTTTTGTTGAACAAGCCAAGGGATGAAAAATAAGTGGCCTAAAACCGGTGAGACAACTAGATTTGGGGGTACCCTAGGTTGATCTCTATTATCCCGGCCGGGCCCGGGGGGTAATCCCAACCACCGCAGCCCGGGGGGGGCGTTTTTCGCCCCCCTGTCTAACTCCGTAAATAAGGGAGCTACGGAAACAAAAGCGATACCAAACGAAAGGTCCTTACGAGACGATTCTAATGCACCTAAAATTTTTGACCTCAGGTCAATTTTCAAGGTCAGAGGTCAAGGTCAAAGGCCAAAACCGGCACATGTGTAGTGATCTCAAACTAAGCCTTCTAGAGGACGGCAGGCTGCATCAAACCGGCAAAATTGGGTGTCAAACGAAAGAAGAGAATCTGAGGATTTCGAAAATGTGCTACAAATCAAAGGTCAAGGTCAAGGTCACGCTCAAAATTCACCTCAAACTTGGCACTTTTTCGCACATCTTGCGTGCTAACTTCCAAGATGTTTTGAAATGTTTTGAGGCTTATCAGTTCCCTATTTGTGGTTCATCTTACGATACAAGGCTGCTAAAAGGTCAAGGTCACAGAAGAGTATCCCTGCTAGAGGCTATTTCACTGATTCAAGTTAGTAATAATAAATAAGACAATTTTGCCATCCGGAAGCTCTAAATGAAGGCTTAGAGGAAAATAGATGCCAGATTCGTGATCAGCGGGTACAAATCCATCAGAAACGACCTTTCATGTGTCAAGGTCAACCAGAGGTCATTCGAGGTCACATGAGGTCAACATGAAACTTGACCTTTTCCGAACAAAATATATATCATTCGACGCGGCTTGACAAGGCGAATGCGATGGTACCACTGCCGTAGCTCTAGGACCATTTATGTCGTAGTTATTTGCGAAAAACTAAAACCACATTTCGGGGTCGTTGACCTGACCTCTGACCTCAGGTCACCAAAACTATTTTTCTATTTTTCTCTAGGTCAAACGCTACACAGCCGTGCTCGTAATTTGTCTTTATCTCTAAAACTCTATTTTTAGCAGCTATTTGAAGTTTGCGTCTGTGACGCTGATTTTTGCCGTGCAGGGGTCTAGAAAAATGGACCTTGTGACGTCATCAAGGGGGCTAGGTCCAAATTTTTTACTTCAGAAGATGTCAAATTGATGGGAGAAAAGGTACTGAAAGTTTCGCTTTCCTATCCCTAAGCGTTAGGAAGGCGAGCGTTATCCCTAAGCGTAAGGAATTTGGGAGTTATCGCAAATATTCGCCAGGGGGGCGAAAAACGCCCCCCCCCCCGGGCCCGCGAGGGTTATGGTGTGCCCCCCCCCCCCAGTCTGAAAGTAGATTCGGCGCCCCTGCGCCTTCACTCCCTAATCCGGGGCGCTGGACGATCCTCTTTATCCCACGCGGAAAGCTCCACCCCAGGAGTAAGTCCGAGGTCGGGTGCAGTGATTGTTAGGGGGCTGGATGGCCTGTCCTCGGGACGGGCACAGCCCCGACGGGTCACCAGGGTGCCCGCCCAGACCATCGCCTAATTTCTATCTTCCTTCCAGCTCTGAAATGGTCTCGTCCAAGTCGGTTTGGCAGACTAGAAACTGGAAGATGTCTTTTGTCGCATGGGCGACGGACGTAACTGTAACGCTTATTCTACGAACATCTATCTATCTACTCGAAAGTTACACAAAGCTCATCCTCCCTGTTACGCCATTTTACTGCTTGGATTTATACCTAATTGGATCTCGTTTGGTCGGGTTACCTACGTATAATGTGCAACTTTCCTCGAATCAGAATCAACATCTCCAGATCAGACAGTTTAGAGCTGCAGAATTGTTGAATGGGTTCTTCGACCACGGGTTCTACCATACCGACTGATATGCACAATGACCTCTTCCGGTCAGGTCGTCATTTTGACCGTAGTAGGTCAATACAGTCAAGCTTTCATAATGACCGTTTAAATCATACCTCATTCGCCGCGTCTCGACGAGAGGAACGCGATGCCGGGAAAACTGCAGCGGATCGTGCCTTTCTTGAGTCAGAAATTACTACAGAGAAAAAAAAAACGTTAAGACGGCAAGTTCAAAGGTTTTTGTCCTATGGGGGCTAGACCGTTGATTTTAGGTCAAATATAAGTGCTTATTTTGGAAAGAGCGTCAAAAGAGCTATGGAACGCGCTTTGCTCTGGCGCGACGCACTATAATAGGTATATGTCATCATAGAGATGGAATATATTATGGAGATCTTATACCCTTCATAATACCTAGTACCTACCTATACTTTATAAGATCTCTAAGATCTCTATTGGTTTCCGAGCTATGCGCCGATTTGTCAAAGATATTCAAATTAGGAATAATTTGACCTTTGATGGCCTCTGGTGACCTGACCGTTGATGTTGTTCTGACCTAAGGACTGGAGGACTGAAGAACTTATGTGATTTTTTGACGCTCTTTCGGATGCTGCTTACAGCGTGCCGCCACGTGGGCCAGAGCCGAGATAGACGGGCATATTCAAACACCCCGGCCTGGCGCGGTTAACCCGCGCCCTGGTGGGGTCTGTTTATAACGCGACCTGGTGGGGGGGGGGGCTATTTTTTGCCCCCCCCCCTCGTATCTCCGAAACTACTGGACGGATCCGCAAAATTCAAACGGCGTTCGAAAGGCCTGTCAAATTTGTCGAGGGAAACCAAATTTCATTGACCTCGGGGTCACCGATGACGTCACAGGTCAGGTCAAAGATGAAATGTTTCACCGTTCACGGGTCATCTAGGGAATGCGCTATAACACCGAAGAAAACGCATTTTGTCGAGAATCAGCGATAGGGCGTCAGTTGCCTAGTACATATATTGCTATAAGAGGTCACTGACATTACCAGGTCACAGGTCAGGTCACCAAGGGTCACAGGTCAGGTCACATGAACCTAACTTTAGGTACTAAGGTTGTGCGATGCATGTTTTATGGCCAATTTTTCATTTCCAACTCAATGGTGTTGGTTATAAGACTATCAGGTACGGCTTAGGCCACTTTCTGGTGGAGGTCAGGTCAAGGTCAGGTCAAAAAAGGTCAAATTTCAAAGTTGATATTTTTGCATAAAATGGGTATTGATTCGATGCAGCTCATCACGGGGAGTCTAATGGTGGTCTTTGTTTTGCGCTACGGGGTCTAGAATTGCAAAAAAAAATGAGTTTGAAAATTTGACGTCATCAATTTTGAACAGTTTTTTCGCTGTAACTTGGCCAAAAAAAAAGAGGTATCGATCTCAAATTTGGTATGTAGATAGAAGGCGGTAAGGACTATCACATATATTCCGGTTTTTTTCGAAATTCAAAAAACTTTTTTGATTTTTCGGCTATTATAATCAAAAAATCTATTTTTTGATTTTTGGGGGTCAAAATCCAAAAATTTCAAAATTCCGAGATAGCAGTTTTGTAGCCCTGTCAATTTTACAGCTTTTATGTCTTTATCGTTTTTCTGAATTTGCAAAGCTATAGGCCTGACAGCTCTTCCCGCGAAACCCTTTTTTGGGTCGAAAACGGCAGAACATGACGTCACTCTGACGTCATTTCCGGCCAACCTATCATAGCCTTTGGATAAATTTTTGGTCACAATGTGTAAAATTGATGTCCGGGAGGGTACTGAAAGTTTGGTGACGATCGGCGCAGCGGTTCTGGAGATATATCGAAAAGTCTGGAGGGGGGGCAAAAAATAGCCCCCCCCCCCACCAGGGCGCGGGTTAACGTCGAACATCGGCCCGGTGAGGGTGAAACGAATCCTATGC